TTTTTGGAAACCTCTGCCCCCTGGAGTCCAACCTAATTGGTGAGGCATCAGGTCACATGTACGACCTGATGGGGCTATCCTCATCACCTAAGGGATCCACGTCAACAAGATTCCTCCTGTTACGTTTGATGGGTCGCCGTCGCATGAGGCTTTGGCCTGATTGCTTCTCATGTTGACAAGAATCCTCTCGTCCCGTTGAATAAGTGATCGTTCGAGGACTTTTACACGTTCCTCTACCTCGTTTACAGGAGAGGACCCGGCTTTACCTATGATGACTGGCGATAGGATCGCTTGGGGCTGCTTCCTCCCTGGCGAACTAAGGCACATGGTATACCGAAGTTCCAGTTTTCGCTGAGCGAGCCCAGCTACCCATGTCGACCGGTATCCTCCAGTCCCGTTTGATGGGTGTTCGTTCGCGGTCTTCCATACGTACCGCTACCATGACAAGAGTGGGGACCTCAAGCTTTCAACCAGAGGTACTTGGGGTCACCTGGGGCTACCCCCACTCGACAACGTGAGTACATGGGGGGCTCACGGCCATCGCAAATGTGACAGCCAACACCTCAGTGAAATACTCGGCAAAGGCCAAGCAGCCATACGACAACTTTATCCATTGTTAGTAAGAAATTCCAGGCTAACAATGGATAACGAACTGTTGATTTATCAAATCATAAGACCTGTGATCAGATACGCTTGTCCTGTGTACTGTAGCGCCTCAGCCACTCAAATGAATAGGCTACAGGAGCTACAGAACAAAGTACTTCATCATCATTATTACTAACGGTAATAGATACACTCGAGTGGCTGACATACATGCTCAATGTCATGATCTGCCCTTGATTAAACACTATACCTTTTCAACTTCAATTCCGGAATCGGTGAGTTATATTTCGGAAAAAGTAATCTCGATTTCAGAATTGGTTAGTTCGATTTCAGAAATGGTGAACTCAATTTCAGAATCGGTGAGATGAATTTCAGAAAAAGTCCATTCAATTTCAGAAATGGTAAGTTGTATTTCAGAATTGGTGGATTCAATTTCAGAAGATGAATCCCTGTATATGTTTGAAATGTTTTCAATTGCAAAATAGAGGATTGTTTACAGTGGATGGAACGTTGTTTGAGAGTGTGCGTTTGAAATGGGCATCCTGCAGATACCATAGTGGTAGTTCTGGATAATGCACCTGCACATTCAAGAAAAGAAGAGATATGCATGGAGGAAGAATTTCAAGATGTTATATTTTACAGATTGGCACCTTACAGCCCTATGTTTAATCCGATTGAACATATATGGAGTGCCTTCAAGTCAGAAGTGAAGAGCTTTTTGCAAGAGCATCGCCAAAGGGTCATAGCTGGGGATCCGAACAGATTGCTCAACCAGATAGAATTCAGACTGCGATGTCTTATCATTCAATGAAAATGATAACACCTCAAATGTGTTTGCATTCTTATAATCATGTGCAACGCTACTATCCTTCTGCGATTCGGATGGAAGACATCTGTGGATTAAATTGAGATTATAATTATGTTATTGAATTGTTTTTGAAAAGTTGAATATTGTAAATATGGTTTGTTAATCTCACATGCAATAGGAAACATTTCAAACAAATATAAGGATTTATTTTCTGAAATTGAACCTACCAATTCTGAAATACAACTTACCATTTCTGAAATTGAATGGACTTACTCTGAAATTCATCTCACCGATTCTGAAATCGAGTTCACCATTTCTGAAATCGAACTAACCAATTCTGAAATCGAGATAACTTTCTCCGAAATATAACATACCAATTCCGAAATTGAAGTTGGAAAGGTATACATTTTGAATGTATCCAACAAATTTTACAGACACCATATCCCAAATAGCGATGAACTTACACGAGATATAACGAGAATCAGAACATGGCATCGCACAGAAAACATGGGCTAATATTCGGAGCCAGCAATATTTTCAGGGATCTCCCTGAATAACCTCCCACCTTCCCCTTTTCCCTAATAAACTGTAAACGATAATAAACAACAGAAATGTTGAAGGAACGAAAACTTTGGTGGTCGTTCGCTGGGACCGTAGACGGAAAAATGGATTTGTTGCATCAACAAATTATTTATGCTTGAATTATTCTTGTTGGACTGAGGAATTTTCTGTTGAATCAACCAGATACATGATTATTTCATGGAAGCAGCTTGTTCAAATCAAAAATGTAGTCTAATTGAATCAACAGTATAATATCAATTCCGTCAACAAAATATAAGGTTTTCACAAAAACAAATTATGTCGATTCAATAATGTCGATGTTTATTCAACTATAAACATTTTGTTGATTTGATGAAATAATGATCATTTTGATGAGAATATATCTTTGAAACAACATACAAGTTTTCTTATTCGGATGTAGCAATGAACTCGTTTCGAACGGATCATTTACTTGAATAGAGCAATGAAATATGTATACAATCAGAAGTCTGAATCTTGAGCTACCCTGTATTTGTTTCAAATAAATGTCAGTAGATAGTAAATCAAAAGTTGAGATAGGGACATAAAGCCGTTTTGACCAATAATGAATAGTTTCGACACAAAAAAAATCCTGAATTTGAAAATTCTCGATTTTGAACACCCTATATCCCTGAAATCATTCCAGCTAGACCCCAAGTGTGATGCATTGATGGAATCAGCTTTTCGGGGAGAATCTGAAAATGCAATGAAATGCAAGGTGTTCCATTTGAAATAACAAAGTTGTTGCTTCTTTTCGATAGAAGCGGCAACGCCGCAGGGCCAAACATATTTTATTCATTAATTTTTTTCATAATCCGGTTTTGCCGACCTACAGAGCCGCTGTTTCGTTTTCAATGGCCCACTCTGTATTCCAAAACCATTATTCAATATGTATCATCAATACATGGATCCAATCCAAAGATCCAAAAATTGATCTAATCTGAACTTTGATGTGTTCTATTGATGATTATAAAGTCATTTTGATTGCATGTGGTTTTCACACGGTTGTCATCACATCAATGTCAATCTTCATTCTTTGCCGTTTTATTCCTTCCTTCACAATTCTTACACCAGAGAATCACAGACAAACACCTTTTCCAATAGTAATTCAGAAAGCGTCAAATGCAATTCAGACAATATCATTTGTAATTCAGATTAGTTCATTGAAATTCAGAAAATATCAAATGTAATTCAGAATTGTCAATCGATATTCAGAATGCGTCATTTGTAATTCAGATTAATCAACTGAAATTCAGAAAGCGTCAGTTAAAATTCAGAAAGCGTCAATTGAAATTCAGAAAGCGTCATTTATAATTCAGAATGTATCATTTGTAATTCAGAATGGGTCAATTGTAATTCAAACTGTCATTTGTAATTCAGAATAGTTGATGGAAATTCAGAAAGCATCATTTGTAATTCAGATTAGTCAATTGAATTTCAGAAAATATCAATTGTAATTAAGATTAGTCCATTGAAATTCCGAAAATATCAATTGTAATTCAGAAAACTTCATTTGTAATTCAGAAATATGGAACAGTGTTACCTCTGCATGCATACCTACCTACAATCCATCAACTTCTCATATCTCATAGAATGAACTTCACAAAGACAACTGTATGATTTGTCGTATTCCAATGACTCGAAATGCAGTTACAAGATTGCAGCCATGTAATCATTTTGTGCATACGAGGTGTGCTTTACCACTACAGAATGTGCCACATGTTACTTGCCCACTATGCAGAGCAATTTTAACTGGACGTTCGAACGTTGAAAGAAATATGTATTGCGATCCATATATTTAATTGAGACGAATTATTCACAGGTTCTTTCATCAGGTACAAGAAACATAATAATCAAGATTATTTTGCCGTCGAACAAGGGGACGTTCTCGGACTGGAGCCAGAGCTGTAAAACAGATACCGGCTGCAAAAGCACCCAATGTACATCTCATTGGGGCAAGTTGGGCAGCTGGGGTAGTAACTATGGAAAGAAGGAGAGGATCTTTCAAGACCAAAACTGCAAATGCTTGGGTAGCATATCTACTACACCAATGGCAAGAACTAGGAAACTAGCTTGCGGACTTGGTCATAGTGTGTGACAATGCTCCTTGTCATTTCCGACTGTAGATAAAATTAAGACATACGTTGAAGTGAATCTTTGTACTCCCCAAGTTGCCGGCCCTGGTGTCGTTAAACAAAGACCAAAGACTTTTGTTCCTCGAAAGAATTATTGACCAGGCAAAGCAGACAATTGTTGGAGGAGACTGTGCTCGAGCAGCACATCATACCATGATTCACCATGCTGCTCCTTCGACCTTAGAAAATATGCCCGTCGTAGGTCGCTGAATTATGGATATTTTTAATTTTACCTGCTATGTCTCAATTCAATACCAATTATGAAGAAAACAAACTTGTGTTGTTGTATCCCACATAATATAATTACTGATTAGATTTCGAGGTGAACGACAACTGCTGTATGAATCCCAATTGACTAATCTGAATCACAATTGACGATATCTGAATTTCTATTGATGCTTTCTGAATTTCATTTGACAAATCTGAATTACAATTGAAGATTTTTGAATTTCACTTGACTAATCTGAATTTCAATTGATTTGTTCTGAATTTCAAGTAACTTATCTGAATTACAAATTACGTAGTCTGAATTACAATTGACGCATTTTGAATTACAAATGACGATATCTGACTTTCAATTGACGCATTCTAAATTTAAATTGAAAAATCTGAATTACAACTGATATTTTCTAAATTTCAGTTGACCAATCTGAATTACAATTGATATTTTCTGAATTTCAATTGACTAATCTGAATTACAACTGACGTTTTCTGAATTACATTTGAGAAATCTGAATTACAATTGACGCTTTCTGAAATACATCTGAAAAATGTGTAGTGTAAGCTCGTCGTGACATATACCCTGTATACCTACTCTGTTTCGATAACACATCTTACTTCTGACCACGCTTCTGACAATTTGCTGACAGTTTGCTGGAAATTTAAGATTTAGGAGAATGTGGACACCTAATCCACCAGAAGATTCTTTGATAAATTATCTCGTATCCAATGTAAACTCTCTGAACTCGAAAGATGAAGATGATACTGTGGAAGAGGAAGATACTCCATTGCTTGAAGAACTCAGAAGTGTTTCAGGTGATACATATGATTACATCAGTTGGTGATATTTTAGTTAGATGACGATGCCGAATTTTCAGACAATGTTTGTCGATGGTACGAATTTTGAGGCGTAAAACACGAATTCGAAATGGAAATAGTACCCTAACCAATAGATCTCGAAACAGGGTCCCACCGATTTAATAGGGACAGTATTGATATTCCCTAAGTGGTGAGAGATAGAAAGTTGATTGAAGCAAGAGTTGCGTAATAATTTGAACATCCTCAATGTGACGATCTGCAATTCAAAAAAATTGCAGCTGATCTAGAAATATTTCGAAGAACCTGAAGTTCACTGAATTCGATTTTATATATTTTCTTGGTTAATATTAGAGGAATGAATTTGAACAACATATCATGACTACAGTATCAAAACTTCTTCATACTTATTAAAAACAACTCTGAATACAAATTTTTCGTTTAATAATCAATATACTATTATAGGTACCTATAAGTATTATTGAAGGTTCCCATTTAGTGGTAGATCTCGTCTTGACATCAGTTTTAGTTTAGTCATATTTCTATGATGATAACATTGAATATTTATCTTGTTCGTTCTCTATATTCATATTTATTTGATGGGCTTGGTATACGACGCTATACCTATATAGTGGAGTATACTACTGCCTTGCCAAAAATGCTATCTCGGAAACTAAGCGAGATAGAGGTATAGTTACTTTGAAGAAAATGATCCCCATCGAATTTTGAGCAACTTTGGTTTTTGTGTGTGGTCTGTTTGTCTGTCTATACTCTGTGGTAATCATAAATCGATATATCTCCGGAACCCTTTGACATATCGACTTGAAATTTCGCCATCTTATTGTACTCAAAACAATATCATGTCATTGAAATATGAAGAAAATCGGAAAACTCTAAGGTGGGTTTTCCGGTTTTTTTCGATTTTTCACCGGAAGTTTCTTGTAACCACTCTACAAATCGGAAAAGTGGTCCGATCGATTTCATTTTTTGTGAAAAAAAACTCTATCAGGGAGAGACGAAGCCTATTGAAATTGAGCAGGGTCGGGAAATTCCAAGTGGGTTTTTCAAGGAGATTTCCCGAAACACACGGTTCGCTTTAAAACGACATATCTCCTGAACCAATAGATTAAATCCAAATTTGAAAAATGCACCATATGCCTCTTTGATGACGCAACAAATTATTATTTCACAATTTTTTGTGAATCCATCGGAAGATGGAAAAACAAATGGAAATCAAAACATCAAAATTTGAAATTCTGTCAATTCTATACATATCGAAAACAAATGGAAAAATCGAAAATTATCAAAAGTGCAAAGTTATCCACTGGAATATTTCCTACAAATTTTTACTCAAAATTATTCCTGTAAACCCAATTGTACAGGAAATAGAGTAAAAAATATGAAAAAAAAAATTTGAACGACCCATAGGGTACCATGAAGATGTATTGAAAAACAAAAGATTATCGATAGATGAATATCGACTTCCACTGAACCATGAAATATTTTTTCCTTTTGTTGATTGGAAGATGGAACAAAAGTGTTGAAAATTTTATTCTCAGATAATTCCAAATATTTCGAAAACAACTGAAAATATCTGAAAATGTTATGAAACCAAAATTAATCCTTTTGATAGAATCTACAAAAAATCCGTATAACATTTTTCTCTGAATTCAATAGTTGGGGAGATACGATGAAAAAACTAAAAAAATTTACAAGTTCCTAGATAATCACTTGCCAATAGAAAACAAAACAAAAAACAAAAGAAAGAGAAAAAAGAACACTCGACTGTCTTAATTTTTTTCCCATAAACTACGTACCTAGCTTACTCGACTGTCTGGAGAAACCAAGACAGTCGAGTGGGCTAAGTATACGTAGTTTGTGGGAAAAATCTCTCTCTCTCTATACTAATCTAATACCTAATGAAAACTACATCCATACTTATCTGATATCTTTCAAAAACTACGTAGGTACCTCACTTGTTAATAAATTCACTTATCCTAAAACATTGAGTTTAATATCAGAATTCATTATAGAAACGTGGAAATCATAAAAAATGTGATTTTTAAGGCAAAATAATTTTAGGTAAACGTATCTTTAACGAAACATTTGTTTTCTTTGTTCTTTCGGTGCATTTTCCTATTTTTACTCATCAATGTAGCGATTGTAGCTATGGCTGTGAAGTAATGATACCTGTAGTCCTGACGACTGATATTTTGTTTTAATATCATCATGACCTACCACATTATTTGAAGAAGTTTTAATTGTTTTCTGTGCTCTTTCATGTGAAAATATATGTTGAACATGGTTGTAAAGGGAATGTTTAGCTCCTAGCAATGGTACAAGAAACAAATGGGATGTCAAAAATTGCATGGTAAATCTCGGAAAAAAATTTAAGATGAAGTATTTCGATCTGTTACGCACACCTTATTTTTTATTTATTCATTTATTTCAAGAAAAAAAACTCGAAGTCGTCTCCACAATTTTAATGTTGAAAGATACAGTCAATCCTGCTTCAATTAGGTTTGATACATGTTTCGGCCATTCAAATGGCCATCTTCAGTCAAAATAAAAACAAAGTGTATCTACAATAGAAAAACCCAAACATTATTTTATATCATGAGGAAATTGAAAAAGAAAATCAAAAGTTGCAAATGCAAAATTGGATTAGTTAACAAATTTCAGTAGTATAACGGAACAATGGCGATTACTCGGGCGATTATTATAAAGTATAACAATATTAATTGATTAGTAATTGATGAGTGAAAAGTGAAGAAGTGAAAAAGCAAATTTTTTTATCGAATCACAAATTCTGATAACAAAATGGCGAACCAAAGGTAAGAAGGTTGTACTCACATGGACAATTTTAATTAAAACATTGTTGATGCTGTATTGCTAAATATTGATGAAAAAAAAAAAGAAAAGAAAAATATACTCGAAACATACCTACAAAAATATGATGCTATCATAATGAAATTGATTAAATTGATGAATTAATAAATCCATCTGTAGATTCTGATAAGCCATCGTTTAGAGAAAAGCAGGGGAAGTGTAATAAAAGAAGGTTAGTTGGATGGAGGTAGGAATAATTTATGTAGTTCCATCCTATATAAGAGTTGACACGGAAACAGTAAATATATCCACATGATGAAGTGTTTGTAGATATTTGTTGACAAGAACGCATATTTTATCCATTGGAAGGGGTATTCTGGGAATATGAAATATTATATTTTTTGGTCCTAGTCTTGGAATGTACAGTTCAAGACAGAATATCAAGTAACGAGTATTGTGATAATGAATCACCTGCTTACACAACATTTCAAATTTCTTCCTTACCTTAACTACCCTAACCAGGTGAATGAATGAAAACAAAATCAGTAATTTTCAGTTTTTTTCCAAATATTTCAGGTACGGTCAACATTTTCCTAATTGCAAAACGTCGTATGCCAGAGGTTCAAATTATGCAACTTTCGTCTAATTCAGTCTAATTGATTCAATTCTCTATCTCTCACCGTTTAGGAAACTCCAATACTGTCCCTATTAAATAGACTGGACCCTGGTATCCTGAAAAAATCGAATTTTTACCATCTTCCATGATCACTTCTTTTGGTGTTTCGATCTCATAATCATAATGACTTTCCATTTCTTGCTTCAAAATAGAAACATCCGATTGATTTGATTGAGAATAGAGGAGTGGAATTTTATGTACAGGTTATTGGGGAGTTCACGATATAGACAAAAATCCATGGAATGATGACGCGAGGCCGTACATCAAATTGAACAATTTCAAAGACTTGCAGTTTACCGAGGAAGAAAGTACAGGAAAATTGACTGAGAGGATGGTGGCTGCATGTTTGTCCTTTTTGGAAAAGTCACCAGTTATTTTCAACTTTGCTTTGTGCAAATGTGTTCTTTCGAAGAAGGTAGAGCCAGCCTCTACTTAGATAAGTATAATGTTGGAAAGAGAGGGAGGAAGCGTCTATTTCGAAAGTATTATTGATCTACCCATTCTCAATATAATTCTCATATACGATGTTCACCACCTCTCTACCCACTATTGAATCATTCAACCAACGATAGCCTAATGAAGCGATTGAATCGATATCAAGACCGAACTATAGATTAAAAGTGCCCTTCAAATAATTTTGTTCCAAACAGCATGTTTCTTCCGATGTTGCTCGTACCTGCTCGTACTTTTTCGTGATATCTCCCGAGCAGTAAAAATTCCAAATGGTTTCATGCACCTCCGGGTATGAAAGGGTACTTTATTGATTTTTTGATAAGTACCTAGTTGATTTTCATTGCGAATCATAAGTATATAATCTAAACATGATGGAATTGCTCATTTCAGAAATATTCGCTGTGATTTTACCACCTAGTAAAAAATAATTGATTTTTTTCTACTTTCAGAATTTGGTCGATATATCCGTTCTGGGAAACTACCACTACCTCCAATACTTAGATGTCTCGAGGAATAACATAAAGGACTTGAAGCCACTAGGTCAAATGCCCTTTCTGCAATATTTGAACGTATCAGAGAACGACATTGAATATCTGTTGGATTTCAAAGCACCCTTCAATCTATATCACGTTGATTTTTCGAAAAACTCTGTTAGCGCCATTCCGGATTTGAGTGACTTTTGGGCCATATCATATCTCAATTTGGCATACAACGACATAGAGAAAATAACTGGATTGGGGAATTTGACGTAAATTATGTTGGTTGTTATTATTGTTATTTGTCATAGCTTTTCCGAGCATACTCATCTGATTCTTCAACTATATTTTTGAATAGTCGTTTCCCAACTATAGTAAAGTAAAACCCGCAAAGGAGTGAATAATTCTCTGATTATCCAATTTTCGCTCATTGAAAGACTGTTTCATTCCTAAGGCAAATAACAGAACAATTTTATTTTATAACAATATTGTTTTATAATCGTTCTGACAGCTCACATTATATAAAAAAATCGTTCATCTACATTTATCATACCACAAGGTGAATCAATCCTGAGCCGTCAGAATATGCAACTGTATTTTTGAATAGTTGTTTCCCGACTAGCAAACTGGTGAATAATCCTCTTACTATCGTCCATTGAAGACTGTTTCATTCTTAAGGCGTATAACAACAAATTTATTTCATAACAATATTGTTGTATAATCGTTCTCTCAGCTCCCATTATGTAACAAAATCGTTTATCTACATCTATCATGACATAAGGTGATTGAATTCTTTGAGACTTCTACATCGAAGACATTGATGAAAAACTGAAGGTTGAGTAGTCGGAATACGCTAGAAACGGAAAGCGATTTTCAAGAATTTACGTGATTCTATCTGATTCTTCAGTTGCATTTTTGAATAGTCGTTTCCCAATCAGCGAAGTTGAACTCTCAGAGTAGTAAATAATCATTCAATTATTGATTAACGCCTATTGAAGAACTGTTTCATTCTTGAGGCGAATAACAAAATTGTTGTAAAATCGTTGTGACAGCTCATATTATATAACAAAATCGTTTACCCACATCTATCATAACACAAGGTGATTGAATCCTTTGCGACTTCTACATCGAAGACATTCATAAAAACTGATGGTTGAGCCGTCAAAATATGCTGAATAAGAAGAGCGATTTTCAAAAATTCACGTGATCCTATCTGATTCTTCAACTGTATTTTTGTATAGTATTTTCCCAGCTAGCAAAGTGGAACTCTCAAAGTAGTGAATAATCCTTTAATTATTGATTATCTCCGATTGAAGAACTGTTTTATTCTCCAGGCGTATAACAGAACAATTTTATTTTATAACAATATTGTTGCATACTCGTTCTGACAGCTCACATTACATAACAAAATCGTTTATTCACATCCATCATAACACAAGGTGATCAAATCCTTCGCGACTTCTACGTCGAAGACATTGATGAAGAACCGAAGGTTGAGCCGTCAAAATACGCTAGATAAGAAAAGCGATTTCCAAAGATTTACGTGATTTGCTAGGGAATATCTCGAAAACAATGGAAGATAGGGAAAAACATACCGGTACAATTTTGTAGACAACTTCATCAGCTACAATTTTGAATGAATCAACTTTTTTGCTGTGAAGTACCGTTCTTGAGATATGAACGATGAATAAGAAAAAGGGACCTGCTACGTCGCCTCTTGCACTTGGCTCATCTTTTCAGTTCGGAGACTTTTGGAATATTTACTTCCTATCAACTCCGAACTTATCCCTTATTCAGCGTTCTTTGACTGAAATACTTGTGGCCAGGACCATTATGACATTTTTGAAGTTGTGTGAAATGTTCAATTGATGAAATTACCGTTATTATGTAACTTTTATTAAGGCGATATGTATCTTCAGGCTACCACTCTTCAAATTTATACTTATCGTGTGGATTATTCATAGTATTAGTAGTAGTAGTTTATTCATACAATACATGTATTACAAGGAAGTAGAAGTGACATATAAAAAACAGACATAAGAATTTTAAAACTCACTCACATTCACTAGGTCATGATAATATTGATGATATTCTAAAAGCATACATTGGAATGTTCATGAAATTCCTCGATGTTGTAGAACTCATTTACTCTCAGTAAGTTCTAACAATGATCCACTAACTTTTCCAAGTTTGATTCCCTTCATTGGGTAGTCGTTTTTCTCTCGTTATCTACCATTTTCGTTCATTTTATGAACTATTGTGGTAATGACTTTGAGTTTCTCTCTATTTGTGCTTATTTTTATCTTCAATATAAAAATTGAACAAGTAGGTGCAACTAACTAGGACCAAAATACCTCTTTATACCTGGCAACCCATTAGTTAGACCGCCGGGAAACATATAGGCAACCCTATATATGTTTACATATTCTATAGGCTTTGTACTTCTTTTTCATTAACCTCATCGGTAGGAATACTCAACTGAAAAGGCTACAGGTGCTACAGAAAAAGGTACTCCGAATCATTACTAACGGTAATAGATACACTCGAGTGGCTGACATGCATGCCCAATGTCATGATCTGCCCTTGATTAAAGATAACATCATTAACGTTCCAAATAAATTTTATTAACATCACATCCAGAATAGAGAACTCACAAGAGATATAACGAGAATAAGGGCAGATCATGACATCCGTAGGAAACATGGGCTGATATATGAGGCCAGCGATGTATTCAGGGAACCCCCTGAATGACTCCCCCCCCTCCCATCATCTCTAATAGACTGACTCTAGACAGCTGATAAGCTGAATTGAACGAGAACGGTAGTCGTTTGGCCGGGCCGTCTAGTCTAAACGCTGTGTGGCCCGGCTGAACGACTATCGGAGCATTACCATGGAGCAGGACTCAGAGATAGTACGCCTATCGGCTAACAAAACTAGTATATTTGCCGATACGAAATCAGTCTATTAGATCCCAATCACTGTCCCACACCTATCCCACCCCTCATCCCTCATAGTGTCTTTCACAGAGAAATTTCAAAAGTTTTTTATTTTTATTTTCCAACACAAAAAATGCTAAATAAGAGAGAAAAAGGTAGCTATCGACGATCAATCTTTTTTGCCCTGAGCAACTTACTGACATGAGCTGGATTAAAGGTTTACTCCTAGGAGTCAGCTCTCTCATGACTGCCATCAGAGTTGTTAGACAAAAATCATCGGCAAGGCCTGCATCGGCTGCCTCTGAGGGCTCCCTTGGAGGGTAATTCTGTGGCGTATCTAAGTGTTCTACATTGTATGTTTTACATTTTCATCATGTCCAATGTCCCCTTTAGAAGATTTTTGTTCATACACCTTGTATTGTAAAAATGTTTTTATTGAATAAATAGAATTGAAACGGTAGGAATAAAGAAAAAAGATCCTCGAATTTTCAATTCATGCCTGGCAGGATTTATTCAGGCAACTTATTTTTTTTATAACATTTAACATGGTTTGCTAAATTATGGAATAATTTTCATCCAATAAACAGATTGTCGTTTTTATTTTAGGTTCCTAACACATCTGGATATGTCTCACAACAACTTAAAAAAAGTGGAGAACCTGACGAATCTGCGAATCCAAAACCTCATACTAAACGACAATTTAATCGATCAGGTCGATATCGTTGATATGTCGACGTTGTGTTACATACGTTCAGTCAATTTGTCTCACAACCGTCTGACATCGTTGAAGTTCGTCAGGAAAATTGAAAATGTCGGGAGCCTCAATTTGTCGTTCAACAATGTATCCGATTTGCTCGAGGTGTACTACATGAAGGGCCTGAGGTACTTGACCAGGTGAGACAATTTCACATTTTATTCGATGTCCTAAGAGGGGAGATACGTGTGGAGAGTACATGATTAATGCCGAAACTATAATATTAGAATCAGATAAAAATTATTATGGACTTGACATATAGAACATTTCAGAAATGAAATAAATCTGAAATATCATCCACATGAAATACTTGGAAAGTATTTACTTTTGCCTCATTTACTCAAATTTGCAAAATTTAATTTCAATTTATACAAACCTATACATTTTCTGAACCTGATTTCGTTATACAAGCCAAAATATGTCGTCTCATTCATTTTGCCAGGAATGAATTGAAAATATCAAATTTAGCTTTTAATGAAGTCCATACAGTCCATAGTCATGAAAGATATATACATGATACAAGAAGGTTTCAAATCAATCTTAAAAAATACTTTCTCAGGACAATCAAAATGAAAGATATCTGGCATGATATGATTATTATACTCGCAGAAATGAAATGTTATAACTTTCATCTTAAGAAACAATATTAATTTGTTTCCACTGAGTGGAATTCATTAATTAACCCTTTATTATATATATTTTTTTATGTATTCATGTATCCCTATCATAAACAGAAATGTTTCTTGGGATAATTAACACGATCAAATCAGAATGATATTTGAAAAACAGGTTAGGTAAAAGTAAGACTCCTTCGGACAGTCGTATCTCTGCTGAAGAGTTTGCACAATTCTACCAAAATCTAATTAAGAACTGTGAATCCACAGATATTGGATCCGGGAATTTCAATTTTGACAACTTTATAAACAAATGCACAAGAAGTCCGCTGGATTATCAGAAATCTCAAGGGCTGAAAGTCACACTAAAAAAAAAGATGGCACAAAACGTTTAGTAAAATAGGTGCCAGTCACAACTTTTATCAAATGATACCACTACAACATTATATAATACTATACTATATCAAATATTACCACTACAAAATAGTATAATACTCATAGTTTATAGTATAGTACAACTTTGTAGTGGTATTATTTGATGAATGTAGTGACTGATGGTGCCTATATTCTACCAGTCTGTTATAAATAGTTTCTGACGTTCTAGATCATCCAATTGCAATTCTTATGAGCACATGCATGAATGATGGTGTTTTCCCAGATAAATCCAAGTTATCTAGAGTATCGCCAATTTATTGAAAATGTGGAAAAAGTTTACCAGCTAAATAGAGACTCACCATCTCTATAATACCCATAATAGGCAAGATCAACTAAATAATTTTGAAGGTACTATTAAATTTTTTTGTGAAAATTAATTTGCTATGTGTGAATCAGTTTGGTTACAGAATTTGAAAGTCTACTATTTCGACAGAGTGTGCTTTTTACCATAAAAAAGTAGGTTTCAACTCCTATTTTAGCGCTCAAAATTTCGTTGCGATATACCTTGTGGTTCCCAAATTAGTAAGGGAAGAACGGACTCGAGAACGGCACTGTATACATGGAAAATTTGTTGCTTAGATACATTTTGTCAGGAGTAAACTGAGAATATCTGATAATGACTAGAGTCACTGGATGGTATTAGTTTGATAAGAGTTCGGACACAGAAATGACAACTGTTAGGGTTTTTGAATGTTTAGATTCATTAAGTTACACACCTTGCATTGTGACAATAGCACCATAGTCGTACCGCGCTTTTTATTCAAAATAATTGTTTAAATTTGACAGTAAATTTTATGAACGTCAGATTTGAAATAAAATGTAATAATTATATTTTCGAGAAAAAAGCAGCTATGAAAATCACTTGCTTAGTAATAAATTGTGCCAAATCTGATACAAATGGATATCATTTATTCAATTCTCCAAAACAAATATCAACCATTCGCTTATGGAAGGAAGATATGAAACGGCCTGGGTGGAAACTCAATTTCAAGACGAGCAAAATTTGTGAGGTACTCATTAAAATTAGCTTCTTATAACAGCATCTGATCACAGAATGAAACTATATTTTAGGTCCAGTTTCGAACAGAAGATTTCAAAATCTGTTTGAGAGAATCTGCTATTCCATCAATTTACAAAGCAGACGATTTCAAAATTCCATTATCATCATCACACAAAATACAGAACAAAATAATCATGGAAAGAGGAAATGACCGTAAAATTACAAAATGAAATTGGAAATTTGAAAACAAAACTAAAAAAGCAAGGAAACTACAACGTGATATATTATTGAATGGCGTTTTTGATGCCGATCAAATTCAAAATTCAACAGTGAAAAGTGAACAATTATTTATGTATCAAGGGAACGCTGGAGGTTATCGTTTTGGAGATATTTTCTGTATCGATCCATGTTACTTAGATGCTTAGCTCCTAGGGCGCTAAGTGAAGTTGCTGAGAACTTTTCAGAAAAATGTATTTGGTATATCGATCCATGTTACTTAGATTCTTAGCTTCTAAGGCGCTAAGTGAAGTTGCTGAGAACTTTACAGAAAAATGTATTTGGTAGGTCTCGTCAAAATAAACTACATTTTTACAAGGAAATGTTTATCGAAAAATGATTTGTTCTCTGTGTTTCAACACCCCGTATCTTCGAAATGAAAAATTTCCGGACACAAGCTTATATAGACTTTATTTCTTAAAATTGTCTCAGGAATACTTCACTTGAACGTATTTATGTTAATTCCTGTATATTGAGAATACCTACCTTTAATTAAATATTAATAACTTCATATTTTATACTTATCACTGGAGTACAGTTTGACATACAATAAGGATTTATAGCTATATAAGTTTATCCATAATATGTGTATATTTTCTAATATTAAAACGTTGGTACATGCATTCTTCTCATTTATATAAGTTGGTCTGCTAGAAGTGTATCACTCTATAAATTGAAGTGGGTTTTTGTACCCTAATATCCATTGTCCATCTACGGCTATGATTGATTTGACAGAAAATATAACCTCTAAAATCGTATTTGACAATCAGGCGCTTCTAGGGAAATTGAAAAGACAAAGAGCAGAATATATGTCTTATTCTTTTATTCACTTAAACCATTGTATTATAGAAAATAGAAAAGGACAAAAGTTCAGCTGTGTCCGAACTCTTATCAAACTAATACCATCCAGTGACTCTAATAATGACTATTCTCTTTCCACTATATGAGATGAGAACATATAAGAGGTTATGAGATTCGAAAAAAATTTGAGACAAATATTCATTATCGAACTAAAATGAATTAAATTGAGTATTCTACTCGTACATCAGCTACACATAAATCGAAGTTGATTAACTATATATGTCAACTCATATTATGTTAGTTCATCTTACATTCTCCCTTCAATATTCAGTTGGCTATTTTGTCCCTATCATGAACCAATTTGTTTCTTGGATTTTTTTCACAATTTCACAATAAGCGATAAAGTACTTTCGATCATGGTATTAAAAATTATTTTCACCTGATAGTCGATTGCAGAAAACTTTTCATTTTCATCTGTAGGGTCAATCTAAATGAGAATCCTGTATCAGACGAACCACACTATTCAACCATCTGTATACGGAAAATCATGAACCTCCGCTTCCTAGATGACGTCGAAATCACTGCCGAGAAAAAAATAGACGCTTGGACGAAGAGCAAAATCAGCTACTTATTTCCTGCGAGGGAAAGCAGGATGGAACTATTCCTGCTTCAACAAATCAACAGGTGATCTCTTAACTCTCATTCATTCATGATTACAAATCATAAAACTACACGGAAAAGAATAATTTGTTGCATCAACAAATTATTTACCTATGCCTGTATTATTTTTGTTGGAATTTGAAAACTAGATACATGTTTATTTCATGGAAGAAGCTTCTTCAAATCAAGTATGAAGTCCTAATTGAGTCAACAGTAAAGTGCCAATTCCATCAAGGAAATATATGGTTTTCTCAAAAACAAATTATGTCGATCCAAAATAAAGTTGATGTTGATTCAACTATAAACATTTTGTTGATTTGATGAAATAATGATCATTTTGATGGGAATATATCTTTGAAATAATATATACAAGTTTTCTTATTCCGATGTAGCAATGAATTCGTTTCGAACGGATCATTTTCTTGAATAGAGCAGCGAGATATGTAATATCAATGGAATATTCTGTTCATTCTACATCAAGTTGAATTTTCGCCTTCAGATGGCGATCATTTCGCCTCGCCTATGCCTGCCCCGAATAATAATATAATAATAATAATAATAATCTTTATTGGAAATAGGAAACCCTAATATACAAACATAAATATTATATCGACAATTACAAAATTATAATATTAACATAATATTGCAATGATTTAAAATTAAGTTATTTATACAAACATAGGAAGTCAAATTATCATTGTATGAGAAGATATATCAAATTACAATATATCCAAATAATGTGTATCATTTATCATATACTATAATATTGTTAATATATTATAATATTGACACCAGCATAACAATGTTTTAATATACATAAATATAAATAAATAGATTAGAATCTTTCAAGAGAGTTTATATATTCAATTATATTCTTCTTAAATATAACAAGGGACTGTGAGTTTTTTATTTTGTTGGGCAATTTATTGAACTGATTAAATCCTTTATAAAATAATGAATTCATTGACTTTTTCTTATTTGTTTTTTTTAGATGAATGTTGCTAATAGATCTAGTATTGTATTCATGAATATCTGAATTGAAGCAAATGAATTCCTGAAAATATATTGGTGCTAAGTTATTGACAATTTTGAATATAAAAATCATAGCTAAATAGAGCCATCTCTGTGAAACAGACATCCATTGTAGGGCATCCAACATGAATGATATAGGAGTGACTTTATTACAATATAAAATGATTCTCATGCCCCTATTTTGAAGTTTTTGTAGTTGATCAGTTTGATTCAAATTGAATAAATAAAGAACAGATGCACAGTAATCAAAGTGTGGTTGTATTATGGTCCTATACACTGTTATTTTTGACTGCATTGATAGACATGACGAAATACGTGAGAAAAAGTAGAGTTTTTTCGATATCTTCTTTACAATGTATTCACAATGACTATTGAACGATAAACAGTTATCTAGTTGAAAACCTAGATATTTCGAAGTAGTGACAATATCTATTCTTTCGTTGTCTATATTGATATTGAGTTCATTCATGTTTAACCTATTGAAGTTATATTTTGTCGTAATGATCATTGCCTTAGTTTTGGTCACATTTAGTTTGAGTTTATTGATTTTTAAATATTGACTTACTTTCATTAAAACAGAATTCATTTTATGTATTGCAATGTTGATATCCTCATCGTAACATGCTAGTAAGGTATCATCAGCATACACATTAAGAAAGTCACATTCAACAAAGAGGTTTATATCATTAAGATATAGAATGAAGAGTAGCGGACCTAACACACTACCCTGAGGGACACCAACATTGTTAGATATTTCATCCGAAAAAATATCATTAATTCTAACTCTTTGCTTACGTTCAGACAAGTAATTAGATATCCAATCATATACCGAGCCTCTTATTCCATACCCTTTCAACTTAATTAACAATATGTGTCTGTCAATTGTTTCAAAGGCCCTCTTTAGATCAAGGAAGACGGCAACTATGTACCTATTTTTATCAATAGCGACTTTGAATTCTTCTAAGGACAGTTGTAGAGCTGCTTCACATGAGTGTTTTTTACGAAAACCTGATTGATGATTAATTAAAATATTATTTTTTTCAATATAATCTGATATTTGGTTGTAGGCAGCCACTTCTAAAACTTTTTCCAAAGGTGGAAGTGTATTAATGGGACGAAATTCATTTGCTCTAATTGTATTATTTATTTTTGGAATGGGGATTATAGTACTAACTTTTAAATCATTTGGAACTACACCTGTCTTCAATGATGTATTAACAAAGTTCAATATTACATGTCCAATCGATTCGAAGATGTGTTTTACCATTTTGCAATTCAGAATCTCAAATATGTTTCCACTATTATCTAATGAATTAATAATTTTACGTAAGTCTTGCATTGACAGTACAGAGAATTGTGAGAAATTGGGATATAAGTTATAATTACAATAGTTCCATACCTTATCTTCTGGTATACTTTCAATAATGTCAGTAATGCTATTGACAAAGTAACTATTCATCTTATTTGCAATTTCATTATAGTCATGTATAATATTTTTACCATCCTCCGTATCAAATTCAATGGAATTAGGAAATTTATTATAATTAACATTTACTAATTTTTTAAGCGTTCTCCACATAAGCTCCGAGTTATTAGAATATTTGTCTATTTTATTGAAGTAATATTGTTTCTTTTTTATTTTCAACAGATTGACTACGTCATTTCTGTATTTTTTATATATTTCCCATTTTTCATGTCTGTCTCCGTCTATGCAAGATTTAAAAGTTTTATAGCTCCTATCTCTCTCTTTTATTTTATTGTTAATATCGTTATCAAACCAGGGAACATTATTTTTATATTTAGTAGTGAGTATTGGTGATATGTTATTGATTATTGAACTACATTGTGACTGTAACTCATTGTAAATAAAGTTAACATCTGTGCAATTGAGTGACCATTCATAGTACATAAATGCCAATCTCATTTGATCAAAGGTTCTCAACTGACATATTTCTGTATTTTTTTATAGAAGAATTGAAGTGATCTTGGTTTCTCACTATATTTGTTACTATTAAAGAATGATCAGATATCTTAGGAGTGTCATGGACTTTAGATGTACATAGATCATGGTTAACTAACACATAATCAATCAGAGTTTCACTTACATCAGTTATTCTGGTGGGTTCATTAACCAGTTGCTTAACTCCATACTGTAGGAACATTTTTTTAATCTTACATGAGTAATAGTTATCACTAAATAAATTAATGTTAAAATCTCCTATAAAAATACATTTGAATTCATTATATACGCGAGGCCTGATTCTTCTTGGTTTAAATATCAGCTGGACAATGCAATCCGAAATAGTTTTGCATCAGCTGAAGAGAAGTAAAGATCAAAGATCTATGCTATAAGTCGAATAGTTTTCTAGTTCAGTTCATTCTATTGATCTAAAATTTCAGAAAACCCCAGAATTATTAATGAATTTGGCTCAACAAAACATTTTGTCGAATGGAAATACAGTTTCTTTTGATTCCTCGAAATATTTCATTGAATCAACCAAATGATTCATTGAATCAACCAAATATTTCTTTGAATCAACCAAATATTTTATTCAATCAACTGAATATTTGATTGAATCAATATCTTGTTATTTTGAATCAAACAAGATTATTCTTTGATTCAAAAGAAGAGAATAGAAGTTCGAAAAACCAAAAAAACAAGCTATTATAAGAGTGACTATCATGAGACGGGCCTCTGCAGTTTTGGATATCTAAATTTGAAAATTTCAATACATTGATAACAGTCTCCTCAATTTCCTGTGCATCATGTCTAGTATTCTTATGAAAGCCCACGAAAATTTCTACAGGACATCCTTTATCATCACAGTATCACTAAATTATTGTGACAGACAGAATATATTACCAGAGCTTTCTGAGTGAATAGCCCGATCTTTTCGAACTAACTCTCCATTGACCAATTTCTCGAAATACTTGTTCAGTAACTAGCATACCTATTCTGGACATATTCCGTTTTGATACTGAAAAATTCATCATTGCGAAATACATTGAAAATCTTCTGATTTTGAATCTGCAAAGATAATAAAATATTCCTGTTCAAATATATATTATTTGTACTATTCGTAGCATTTATTGGCTCACTAGTATCAGTCGTATCCGTTGCCCTTGGATCCATCTGCACTTCTTCATCATCGTCAGTGAACTCGTTGCTTTCTTCTCCTCTAATGTCTCAGATGAAGCTGAGGTCACCAATTCCAAAATTTATCCGTGTGGCCGCAAATATACTATTTCATCGCTACTACATCCAGGTTGGTTATTTACAATTTTGTCATCTCGATGTTGATGATTACGAGTGAGAAAGTGTTTTTTTTTGGTTCTGTCTTGCCTGCTTTTCAAGTTTCCTTTTACGCCATGAAGATCCTTGTAACTTCCGCTCTTTCATTTTCTCTCAATTCTATTGGGTATATATCTTCATCAGTCCATGAACAAATTTATTATTAACAATCAACAATAACTTCAACAATCATTCTTTATTCCTTATTGGCGTGTAGTTTGATTTAAAAAAATCTTCATTTCTCGATCACTAATTGCCACAACATCACAACCAGATCATAAACAACAAGATGTGCATGCTTGTATTTCAGAATACGCTCTCTTCATTACGAATATTTTCGACAATGCAGGGATCCGCATGTACTAAAAAGTACACCCTGTATTTTATCACATTTTTCGCTTCTCCCTGAAGATCTGATTTCATCGATGCATCACACTTGGGGTCTATCGAAAATGAAAACAGAGATATGGGATGTTCAAAATCGAGATTTTTCAACTTTAGGATTTTTTGTATCTTCATATCTCAACTTACAGGAATGTTCAAGATGCAGAATTCCGGTGCTATAGCACCCAAAAGACCCCTGGTTAAACCAGCCCTGCTGCTATTTTATTGAATTATGAAGATTTCTTAACAACTTTTTCGAATTCAAAATTCTTTCGAGTCTGGGTAAAAGCATTTTCTTGTTACTCACGACTCGATCTCTTTCGGAAAATGATCGTGTATATTCGTTATTGTTGAAGGAGAAACTCATTTTATTAGGTTCTCGAATTGATTTCCACATAATATGTATGAAACAATTACGCAGAAACAATTTCAATGTAATTATTCTCAACTTTGCAACAGGCCGAAGATTGGAGCTCACATAGTGCCATATGATCAACCTCCTCCTGATGTCATTATGGTAGTTGGACCTCCAGGTTCGAGGAAGAAGAAGATTGTTAGAAGATTCTTGGAGACACAAAAAAGGTATTCAATATTTGAGAAATGATCTACTTTGAAAAACTCCTGGTATATTATAAGCATACCCTGAAAAAATAGTACTCATTAGGCAGTGTGAATTTTGTCACAATATTCCCTTTTGACCAGAATATGCAGAAGGCTTATTATTGCTGGAATTCGATAGTTTCAACCCAGGGGATGTTCTAATCGGAGATATAGCATAGATTGATGTCCGGCAACTCATTATATTAACCAAGAACATCAAAGAGTCTGGATCTTCATTCAACTGTTCTTATTATACTTCTGCTAATTGCACAGTTCGATAAATAGGTATTTCCCTGTATTTTGTCCAACAATAAAGGAAAATTATTCGAATAACCCTTGATCATTGATAAATGCTCAAACATTTTACGAATGTCCAGTTAATGCAAGATGGAAAAAAGACATGTCTAAACCAAGCCCTACAGTACTGTTCAGGTTCTCCAGACCTTATCAGTTATACTCGGTTCCTCATCAACGATCAAACTTTTAGATCAGCTTTTGGCGACATGGTGAAATTATAATCTTGAACCCTGATTCAGTCAACCGACTTTGAATACTTTTGTCTCGACACAAACTTTCTTAACGAAAAAACCACATGCATTCATATGAAAAATGATACTGAATTATCGAATTGTTTTTCGAAACAAGTCAACGATTTTCAGAATATTCCAAGGTGTGAGTCACACTACACGGCCAATGAGACATGAAGAAGAAGATGGACTTGATTACTACTTTGTGACCATGGAAGTTTTTTCGGATTTGGCACGAAAAGGAGAGTTCATAGCAACGTCAGAATTCAATGGATATTCTTATGGAATAGGTAATATGAGTGTTGGTTATTATTTCTGAATAGACTATTATTTTACAATTTCCAAGAGAAAGTACTTCTTGGAAATCAAGAGATCGGCAAGTAGGTTCTAAACTAGTCGTAAATTAATGCAAACATATGGTCATTCATAATATACCATAGTTAATCAGTTTACTGTTCGTTCAATACAAACAATTATGAATGATATAATAGTATACGCTGGTCGAGGATGATATTTTGATAGTTGTATAGAAAGTGGCGCTCGGTTTTCATCGTTCCATATCAAAGTCACGTCAAAACTGAGGGAAAACAAACTCAATCCTCACTCAATCCCATCAGTGCCATCAGCTTGTGTACTGTGTACTGATAAGAGTAATAAGTTTATAAATTTCATGACATCAATTGTCAATATTCGATCGAAAGCGCTAATAACGCCTGTTGTAGATGTTCTCTTGGCAGATATTTTGCTCTATTCAGATGGAAAAGCCGACCAGCAGTGGAAGGAGAAGCAGTTCTCCGTGCTAATCATGTGATTTTGTGTGAGGCAGAAGACTTCAACAAAAGGCACATTTTTGCACTTCGTCTACAAACTTCGGCGATGAAATCTTCTCCACATGAAGTGAAATTGAAGTTGGGGTCCAGAGAAACTCCTGTAGAACAATGGATTTGTATTTGTGCCTGCAAAGCAGGACAATCTGGGTATTGTAAACGTATTGTAGCTGTTCTTTTATATATGTCAATTGATTTGCTCGTCATAATTACTTTGAGTTGTTTGAACTATCTCCAATTCTTCACCCGTTCACTGTTCACTAAACTTATAAAAATGTAATAATGTAAAAAAATTAACCAACTCAACCATCATCACTACCAACGGTGCCAACACTTTATGTCATTGACAAGTTTGACTACAGCTACAGCAAGCTGAATGCAATGTAGTCTATGCACTTTATCCATAGACAACAGTTTGTTTTCCCCCAGTTTGAAGTTCGTATTAGGTAACCTAGATGTCGCCCACTTCGTGAATCTCGCGAATAGTCTCAATCGCTCGATAATTTTCAAACGAAAGTGGGTTCTTGGTTGTAAATCTGGCTGCACCTCAGGACCAGCTATAAACTGTAGGTCCCGCTCTTCCGAACCCCGCACAAGTTTCTACTTCTGGGTATTTTTTTTCAACTTCAAAGTAGCGATAAACAATTTTCACGAAAGAATCATCTGAATAATTGAGGGTATTGTGGGACAGCCTGCATATACAAGATGTCCCTGAAATGTATATACCACATGATACCACAGACTCCTGAGACCAAAGTGAGATGATTGAACCAAACCCACCTCTATACAGGGCCGTTGGAATCGATATATCTTTCGTGTATTTGTGACATCATGTAGGCACACAAAAAAGGACTATTATGCATGAGAAACGTTCCATAACATTTTGATTGACATACATGATATGCGGAGTACTGTTGACCAAAAAATTGTTAGAATTCTTTCTGAACGGATTTCAATGTTATTTTTCATCCAATCATTCAATACCTTACTTCCTGCTCTCCTGGAAGTTTGTGATATTTCTATTGGATTGCAATTTTATTGAACAAATTCAATTTGATGCATACCTATGATACTCTTCAGAATTATTAATTAATTATAGGTTCGTACTCAATTTTCGTATGGAATCATCACTCGCTCATGAATTCATTGAAATAAAAAATAGAGGTAAGTTTGGTCGAATCTCACATTGGTCTCGGCAGTCTGTGGTACCTTTTTGTACAGACCTCTCAGAGACGCCCTGTATTTATATCACATCATTGTTATCATCATTTTGTAGCTTATGACGAACTACGAAAATGTGAGGATTCAGTCGTAGTATTCTACTCAGACATCCATTCCGCTTTGACACTGAAGGTGATGGGAATTTGTCCAAAACTGGTACTGGCCATGCCTAGAGAGGAAGAAACGCATTTGAAGTGGTTGAAGTTGACGTACTATTATGATCATATTATGTAAGTACTGCATCAAAGACTGTCGTCTCAAAGGGTTTTCACGGTGTTCAAGTAATTTTCATGAAGTTCAAGTAACTTGTTCGCTTGAACTACTTGTCGCTACCTGTGAATGCTTCAGCTGCTCGGCATTCACTGTTACTCCAGGTAGTCTTTAGTAATGCTCTGTATCCATTGTGGGAAATTCGGCAGTCTTGAAGGTTTGATTTGAATAGTTATCCGGCTCGAAGGACCAATGGATGTGATCCTTGATAGATCGTGGACTGTATTTGTATGGTTTTATGGTAGATTATAGATGATAATGAAATGAAGATCGATATTTGAATTCAATTCGTATTGCAATCCTTCTTCATCTATTCATTTTATTGATTGAATCATATGTTCCAACAGCTCGTCGTTATGTTAACAACAAATGAATATTTATCATGTTATATAGGGTAACAAGGGTATCGAACTATTATATAGAGTCATACAAGTACTAAACATTTAACTCGTTGGATTTGTATTGTTTCAGGAATTCGAAAGAATTGCGTATAAAGAATAGTCCCTCTTCAGTCCAAAATGCCCTCGGAGGTGCCATCGATGATGACAACGAAGTAGTGAAAGATTTTGACGAACTATTCGAAATTGGTGATGTCAGTGTGACATCTGACATGATGACTTATGGCGACGAGGAATTCAGAAGTGCAGGGCAGAACGACGACGGTCGCCATCTTTACAGGTATGCTATAGTCACTTGTTCGATGTTCAATAGTGAAGAACACAAAATTGAAAAATGTCAGTAACATAACATATGAATGCTTCGATTTCGTGACAGAATACAACGAAGGGTAATATTTTCAATCTCACTAGTACTGTGCTTTGTGCTCACATTTCGATACTCCCACATCGCGTTGTTCCCACATTCTGATATGCCCACATTTTGTTAGCCCCACATTTCCATATTTATACAGTCTCCGAACATACCTGAACGACGCACTGTTGCCAAATACTATCCTATATATCAGAATTCACTGAAACAGTCATTGTGTTACACATACATTTCGATGGACCCACATTTCGTTAGCCCTACATTTCTATATTCTCACAGTCTCCGAACGTACCCTAAGGATGCAAACGTAGGTGTATCGAAATGTATCGTTAGGCCGACAATGTCTAGTACTAGCGTCTAGCTATATCATTCACCTCTATGCATGGCTCCCTGAATTTCGAATAAGAGATATAGAGAATGAAAATATCGTTTCTGCATAAGAAAGGGGACTGCTACTTCTAAACAATCTAACCTAACTCGGCCTAAATGAACATTCTACCTAGAAAGTATATTTTTCTGAAAGGAGCCTATAACTTCTACACAATCTGACCTAACTGGGCCTGAATGAACCTTCCTGAGAAGTATATTTTTCGATGAATTGCTCGAGGGAACAAGGGAGACCTATTTTTCTAAACAATCTAATCTTACTCAGCCTACATGCACCTTCTTTCTGAGAAGTATACTTTTAGTAAAATTTCGCATAAAGCGTAGTATTTGGCAACATTGCATTCTTTGGAGTACAGCCTTACGGCATCGGAGACTGTGAGAATATCGAAATATGGTGCTAACGAAATGTGTAACACAATGCGTCGATAGGCCCACAATGACGGTTTGAGTGAATTCTGGCATATATATAAAAGGAAGGGAAGTCGTTGCTTACACGTAAGATATAAAATGAGCTTGCTATCGGGGATTGCAGCAAAGTAAAGGTGAACTCATTACAGTTAGTCCGAGCTTGTATATTTCCATCTTCAGGGAGACTACAAATAGAATTGCTATGTGTACAATGATAGTAATTTTAAGGAAAGTTCAAATGGTACTTACACTATTTGAGGATAATTACTATGATCTTTAGAGAATGTTATGTCTCTGGAAATATCACTACACTGTTTCACCTCTGACCGGACCGTTATTTTGATTCGAAGTTGAAAGAAGTATTATTCATCACACAGTCATAAATTCAAGTTGGAAACAATCACAATTTCGTTTTGAAAGCGTCTGGGTATAGGAACTAGACAATTTAGTATGCATTCCGAAAGATAAAGTGGACACACCAAGTCAGGTATTGTTGTTCTAAAATTGTTCTATCCGTCATTCGGGGGCTTGTTGCCCCCTTACGAGCAACTCTCAGAAGTCTCCGAGAGTCTTGTGCGAGTAAGGAATGACGGGGGACTTACCTTTTAACGTGTGATCCCAAACACTTTCTTGGGCCATCAGAAAAATGTCTGCAGTCGCTGGGAATTGAACCCACGACCGGCAAGCGAATGCGGATTAGAATACTGACACTATGTCCGCACGGCTACCTCCTCATGAGCACGTAAAAAGTCCTCCCCTTTATCTTGAACGGAACAAGCAAGCGAGGTCTGGTAATTTTTGACATGCAGATGGTTGTGGTCACATGACCTAGAGTCAAGAGGGTACCATCAATTTTTGTTTTTGAATGTGAAGAGTCACGTCGTGGTCTACACCAGGCCTGCAGGCTTTTCGATTTTCTATCCAACATCGCTTCGTTTGGGCAAATCGGCCAATCCGTTTCGAAGTGACAAGCGTTTCGAGGCGTTGTAAACTCAGTTTGGTTAGTGTTGAAACAGTGTAGGATGATCATTGTACCAAAAGGTTCTAGTCTTCGATATCCCAAAGGAATATCAAGTGAATATCTCTCAATTTTCAAATGATTTGATATTCGTTGATTTAGTAGATGTCACCAATACCTTCCATACCAACTATAATTAATCATGTAGGTTGTAGGTTTAATCAGGTTCATATCAAGGTTTATACAATCTAATTCAAGTTTGAATGAAAATTGTAAATTTACTCGATTGGTTTTTTGAATTCATTTTTTCGAATGGTAGACTGATGATCAGTTTTTTGCACCCTCTTTCATAGAACCGTGTTTGATTTGGTATTCGTATCATTGATGAATATCGAAACCATTTAATTTTCAGGAATGACAGGTCTCCTACATCTATAAAATCAGACCAGTTCAATCTTGAAGATTCCAGCAGGTAAGCTTAAGAGATAAGGTCATTACAAGAATCCGAAATTGGCTGCAAGTGCAAGATAGTATCATTCTGAAATAAGAGAATTCGTTCCAAGTTGCCAACGTAAAAACCTTCGCCAATGTAGAAGTAACATTATGGATGTTTGAATACTCGAATGGCTTCATTTTTATGAAATCTTATTGTAGGAATCTAGTCAGGTTTCTAATAGAAGTAATTAAGAAAAAAATGTCCTCTGTGAATTCCACCTCTAATTGGTTGTAAATCGTGTTGGTGCATCTGCGTCAGGTCAATACTGTCAATGGTGATGTTGATAGTTTCACGAATGGAACGGTATTTTAGCGAGTTTGATATACACTCAGTTCCAAAAAAAGTGACGCACTTGATATTTGAAATAGTAGTCCTATTTTTTTTTATTTGTTGGTAGGTAATGCATTTGTCTTTGAAAAAAAAAATAAAGAGGTGAAAATTTTTGCAAAGCCTCCTTGATGGTGGTGGAATAACTCGAACCATGATTTATTCTCAATTTTTGACTCACCCTGTGTGTTAATTGAGTAATGGTATAGAAAGTGTTTGCACCCTATACGAAAGATGCTTCTTTTGCGAGCATTTTGTTTTTTAATTCATTGATTTATCTCTAAAATTTTCCGAATTACAGCTTTTTCTGCTGAATACTTGCAGATTACCAACTTTCTGAATGTATCGAGAAACAATTTTCTAATGAAATAAACTGATACCAATGATTTTAAAAAACATTTTTATTAAACACAAAATTATAAATTGAGATGACTGCTTAATACCGTGTATTGCCTCCTCTAGCAACTCTAAGAACTTCTAATCTACGAGGCATACTGGAAATTAAGTTGCTTATCGTTTCCATTGGTATACGATCCCATTCATCCACTAATGCATTTGCCATTTCTGCGAGACTTTCCGGAGACCTCTTGCGAGAACGTACCCTTCTCCCTAATTCATCCCACAAATTTTCTATAGTATTCATATCGGGGCTTCTCGCAGGTCATTGTAATGTGGTAATACCAGTAGCTTCTAAGAAGTTTCGCACTATTGCTGCGGTGTGTGGTCGGGCATTATACTGCATCGATATAAAATTATTGCCCACTAACTCTGCATAAGGTAAGACATACTGCTCTAAAATGTCAATGTAAATTTGGGCATTCATCGACTGCCTCACCGGAAAAACATGAAGAGGTGTCTTTCCAATCATTGAAATCTCCGGACTCACCATTGAAACTTTCGCATTCTGTTATTAAATGTTGATTAAACCGTTCACCAGTTCTTCTCCACACTCTTTTTCTTCCATCCACCATGTTGAGGCAAAACCTTGACTCATCCGTAAACAAGACATTCGACCATTCAGGAATATTCCACTGTCCATAATTTTCAACAAAATTTCTTCTAGCAGCACGATGTTCGGGCAATTATTTGGGACCTCTTGCAGGTCTCCTAGCTTTTAAATTAACTTCTTTTAGACGTCTACATACCGTCTGCTTACTCACTGTAACACCACGAATTTGGCGAAGATCTTGCTGAACATTTATCGCAGTATTTGATCGATTCCGTAAAATCCGCAATCTGAAGAAGCGATCATCTCTTGGAGAAGTTTTTCGGGGGCGACCAGAACCGACCCTCCGAGCGGTGCTTCCTGTTTGTTCGTACTTGTGGATTGCTCTACGAGCAGTTGCTTCATGAACTCCCACTGCACAAGCGGCGTAACGTTTACTACGCCCATCGTTTACTAACGCAACTAATCTTGCTACTTGTTCAGGATTTATTTGAGGCATTTCATGTAATTTTAGTCAATAAAACAAGACACTTAATTAATGACACAACGACAAATGGTCAAATATGGAGGCACAAATTAGTTACTATGGCAACAGCATTTGTTTTTTCAAAGACAATGTGATCCTACCAGAGTACAACCCAATCAATTTTGAGTACTTTGATCCTTCAATGAATTTAATTTGTGGGATGAGCGCAATTCGGAAAATTTTAGAGATAAATCAATGAATAAAAAAACAAAATGCCCGCAAAAGAAGCGTCTTTCGTATAGGTTGTAAGCACTTTGTATACCATTACTCAATTAACACACAGGGTGAGTCAAAAATTAAGAATAAATCATGGTTCGAGTTATTTCACCACCATCAAGGAGGCTGTGCAAAAATTTTCACCTCTTTATTTTTTTTAAGACAAATGCATTACCTAATAACAAATGGAAATATAATAAAAATCGGCATACTATTTTTTTTTAAGAAGATAGGTCAACTATCAAGTGCGTCACTTTTTTTGGAACTGAATGTATTAGAGGGTTTCATAAATATTCAGTTAATCGAATCATCCGCGTTGACACTGAACTATGAATACAGAATGACCAAGGAACTCTCATGAGAAACGTCCAAACCTATAATCAATAATAGGTGTGAGGGTTCCGAAGTTAAGAAAACCGTTGGAGGTTTCTCTTGAGTTGACAAGAACTCGCCGAAATGGTAATCATATAGTAAGTTGTTGTTGTTGGGTCTTCATATTCATTGGTCATTATGTATATTTCATTATTACCCATAAACCATACTAACCATTAAGCCAAGCCAATTCTAAAAATATCCCTTCTGCCTACTGCAACCATCTAACTTTACTTTTACCAATGAATAATAATGATGATAGATTGATAGAGTTGTCCATGAATGAATAATCTGAAATGAGTGACATAAAGTTTACAAATGAAATTGACGACGAAATGACATATTTCGAAATTTTATAGATATTTTCATTGACGATGCTCTTCTGAAATATCAACAATTGTTCCTCCCTTGGCAGTCCCCGCGAGATTAACCCGTCGAGTTGAGGCTTCGCACCCCTTCGTGGTCACTTTGGAGACCTGCAGAACATCTCTTCCCAAAGACTCGTTCATCCAAAGAACAGTGAGGCTCTGGAACACATTGCCAAGGGAGGTGTTCTCCGAAGCATATAACATCCAGAGATTTTAAAAGATCACCAATTCCTACCTTATCTCCCTTGGTTCTCACGATTTTCTCTGAATATTACAGGATATTCCTTTTTATGGGAACCAGAACATAAAAAGGAAAATCAGAAGCGGACATCACAAAAAGTAATATTTCCTCTGAATAACTTCTAATAGAGAGCTGAGTAGACACCTAGAACCAGTTTTCACAAAAAATAGAGCCATTTGAGTAATAAAACTTCCACAATGTTGCTTCTACATTGATTCTCACTTCATTCCGATAAGAAAAATTGGCTACTTTTTTCGTAAACACTACTGAAACAACTGGAAGTAGAATTTCTTGCATCAACAGTTTTATTTCATTCCACAAACATCAAAACTGATTCACATGATTCTCACGGGAATTCTAACAGTTTATTGTTGGAAGTGAATCATCAGGGAAATTCATAAAATAGACAGATTTGATTTGCGTCACAATTTAGGCGGTGATTATAGCCTTTAAATAGTTGATTTCTACTAGTAGTTGCATGGAAATAACATTTTTCGAAAACTGTCATCAAACGTTGACATTTTCGTTAAAATCTCAGTTAGTGAAATGGCTCAGCTGAAATAGTTATTTAACCAACTAGTGTATTAATGAGGGCGATTAATGATCGAGATATTTTAACGTGCGAGCGAAGCGAGTGCGTTAATGTTCGAGATCATTAATCGCCTTTTAATGTACGAGTTGGTTACAAAATTTTTCCGTCGACGATATTTCTCATTTCTCCTGCAATGAAAAAAACTTGGTTCGCGAATTCATCATTCATCCGGAAACTACTAAAAAACACCCAGTAGCCTTGTTGATGACATTAGTGACTTTTGACATCTATCGAAATGATCAACATAAACAAAAAATCCTTGTGTTAGAAAACAGGGATTAAAATCGTCACAGAAAGGAAAGGGGAGCCCGTTAATGGAAAATATTCGATGAAATCCATATTTTCGATTTAAATGCAGATTCCGTAAGTTATAGCATAAACAATGAATGCACGCGGTGTATGCTTGGTTGCCTATAAAACAATCGTGCATTAATAGACAAATTGATCATTAATAGGGGTCATTAATGAACGATTTCATAAAAATTAAACTAACTCGTTAATACGAGGTCGACGGAAAATAGTAGATTGTTTTATTAGGATCAAAAGTGACACTTTGTTTGACAAGCGAATTTTGCATTTGCGAGGCGGAGCGTTTAGCGAAGCCGAGCGAAAGCAAAATTTGCGAGTCGAACAAAGTCACTTTTGATCCGAATGAAACATGCTATTTTTTCTGCAACCGAAACAATCAACTCAAATAAACATTTGAAGTAACCACCAATGCCGTGCCATATGTATGCAATGCAACAAATATTGACAAATAATCCATGTGGTCAGAATATTCTACCTGCATTAACAGCAGGTTAGGTTTTCTAGGATGTTCGAATTGTAGTTTCAATATGAATACAACCACAGAGTGACATATTTGTGTATGGACCAGGTGCTCTAATGGCAAATACCGCGCCAGTGCCAGCTATATATAGGAACAAGACGTGGAAAATGTTAGGTTAGTGAGCATATCAACAATGGTGATAGTGATTATTTATTCCTCTCTATACTACACTGTGTTTGATGTGATAATCAAATGGAGCTAAACAATATCGTTGTTTGAGACAAAAAACTATTGCTTGCCGTGATTATTCAAAAACAAGTTATCCATCCCGAGAATAAGGAATGAAATAACAGATCACGCAAGTATTTGAATCTTGAAGGCTTTCCTGATCAAAACAAAAATACTTAACTGAGATGTTTATAATTTCAATAATAAACTATTATAATAAGGTTTATTTATATCTCCTGCATGGGGATGTAATGCCAAATCTGCTGAAATCGGAAACAAATCAGGTATGCGTCCCAACCCAAATAACCAACCGTCACAATGTTGTTCATTCTTGATGACGTCCAGTAGATCCTTTTTAGTTCCTAGGAGCTAAAGTTCAACTTTAGCTCCTAGGAACTAAAATTCAACTTTAGCTCCTAGGAACTAAATATGTTGCCTAACAACATACCTATTTTTGTGTCAGTAATAAAAACGTCAATTTAAGAGCTAATTTTGGTATCAAAATGGACGACTTTTGTGTCGGTTGCAGAAAAATACTTTCATGTTCTAGAACTTAGAAAACCCTTACGTTTCAGAACGTGAATGTTGAACAGTTGGTTATATGTTGGGATCTTATTTACGAATTTATTTAGTGAATACTGAACATACGAGTATACGTCAGTTTCGATACATAATAATGATGAAATATTATTGGAGACTCACGTTATTCGTACATTACACAGTTTTCAGATGGTTGCTGCTTTTCAGTTTTCACTATTCTCCTTTTCAAGTTTTCACTCATCAGCTTTTACATGTTTTTCAATGAAACAAATAACATATGAAAATTCTGGGTGAGTCAGATAAGTATCCAAAAAATGTCAATAAACAATGACAAATACTTGATATTTATTTCTCCATCCTCATATTAGTTTCAATGCAATATTGTTTGCATCTCGAATGCAAAATGCTTTTGCGTTGACGAACGATTATTTTCTCAAACGCCAAAGTATCATTTCGCATTCTAGATACAAAAATACCTACTTGAGACTGAACATAGTTCATTTTCCAATTCTACATGATTTTTTATAAACTAAAAGCGGTAGAACATTGCATTTTTTCATCTGTCACTGAAATGAAAAACATTTCCGATTCAAATCCGCTGTTGGGTATCCAAGAGGAAAAAAAGTCGACTAAAATACATACGTTGTTATGGTGATTTGTCATGAAAGCCCAATTTGATTGGTTACAAATTACTGGTGTGAAATTTTCGAAGCAATTCAGGTCATTAATAATCAGTTCATTTTGGCGATTGCACTATATTATTCTTGAATACTTATACCTACGCTGTTTTGGTTGCAGAACAAAAAGTAAACTCCTCAATCATAACGAGACAATAATATAGGATTATAGATATTATTCACGTACTCACTACTGTTTTTTTTTTTCAGGAGATTATCCAATAAATCAACTACTGGTATCTTGAAAAATAAAGAGGGAATGCAAAATGGGTCAGAAAATGTTTCACCGTCTTTGGTAATTTCAGGTTTTGTACGAAAGTGTAGAACAGCCGCTATTTGATCTTTTAAATTACTTCTTTCTCTGAATTCAGACACTTTCTGTGAGTTAAAACTTCTATTGCATGAATTCAGCCTTTTTTCTTCAAACAAGCTTACTTTTGGTCTGAATTCAATCTTTTTTACACGTTACGGATTTGAATCAGCAATAATTGTTTGTACTAGAATCTGATTGAACCTTCATATTATCATACTTCAATGAAAAAAAAAAATTGAAATCTGCTTTTTTTTTTCAATAATTCAACAAGAATCTGATACAACCTTCGTCATAGTCCAAGATCTGGCTGCAAATTTCGCCCGTCATCTGATAACGAAATGATATACATGATATCTTCTGAATCATTCTAGATCGGTTTTCGAAAATTGGTGGGTGTGAATTATACCAAATTGCTCATTAATTGACAAACCGATTTCTGTTCAATCACCTCCGGTCTCACCAGAAACGACCCTAACTTTTGATTTTTCAATGTGACACCCTGTATTTTATCTCATAATCGGTTGGTTTTATAGGGTTAAATCGAACGACTACGAGGATATTCGAGTTCTTAGTTTCCATTTGCTCAATAGGTGGGACAGAGAAAGAATTTTCAGAATCCGATCTCAAATGATTCAGAAGTTACAGCACTGGTTGTTTATTGTGTACTTATCTGTATGTCCCGAAGGCATGTAGATAGTTATTTATAATTCAAGGGAAAGAAGTAGTAGATTTTAGCTCCAGGTTGTGTTGTCTCCCGACGCGTAAAAAACCGTGAGCTAAAATCTAATATTTTCCCCGTGTATAATACACTATTTTTTTCGGTGACAGAAAAAAGGACGAATCAATATTGAGAATATATTACATTATTTTGAAATCTGAAAATTATTGACGTGAAATTTTAAGTTTTTAACAGTAGGGTCACCTGCGTTGTAGGAATCTTTATCATTCTTTTGAAGTAATCAATGGGCGTGTACACCTTAGTAGAACTTTTAACTCAAACCATGTTTATAATGATCCTTTCATACATATATAATGATTGACGACATAATTCGATCGAAAAATTAACTGGAATGTTTTATTTTTGGACATAAATAATAGTAACTTCTGAAAACGGACCCTCTTATGACGTAGAATCCTCATCCCGCCATAGTTGAAGGAAAATACCAAACGCCCGATGGAGACTGAGGCAACTGATATATTAATTCTTTCAACTGTGATCTCGCGCTAATTCACTCTGTCAGAAATCATGTATCATTCATCTCTGTCTAGAATAGTCTGGTTTCAGTATAAGGGTTTTGACGTCACATCATCGCCTCGTTTTCAGAGGTCCGAAAAATCGGGGATTTCAATAATTTTTTATAAAACGTAGGGAGCTCACAGCAAGAAACGGTTTGCGGTGGTGAGCTAGTTTGGGTGAGTTCTATCGAATTATGAAATTTTTTGTGATATAAGCCCATTATCTGATGTCACTTCTGTCAGTCTAATTCTGTGATTTGATTTCAAAAAATTGCGAATTTAGTGGTTGTGGTGGAAGATTCAAGGACTTGCAGTTCTTTCTCGGAGACGGTGTTATTGACTCATTTTTCTGAACTATAGCACAACAAAAGCCATCAACAGTGTATATTTATGTGATATATATCCGGGGAAAAAGTAATTGATGAAAAGTGACATTTTATAACCTGCCAACAGAGATGAATGCCAAACTTTTTTCTCGTCACAGAGAAAAAAATTATCGAACGGCACCTGTGCCAATCACTATCTTGAGCGAAATGAGAGAAGAGTGGCACTTTCCTGTGAGGCAATTTTTACTTAATTTCGCCATATGATAACTAAAAGTATGCTATCCGATACTGATTGAATGATATTTCTCAGAAACCTACCTGTGCCACCTCTCAATCTAAGCCAAATCCAAGGCACAGCAGTTTATTTGTATTTCGAGTATACTTCCGTCGATTCCCTAATAACACACTCATGTCCCATGGATATCCTTAGGACGTCCTGTCGGGACATTCAGGACGTCCATAGGACGTTCGAATTTGGTACCGTGGACGTCCATTGGACGTCTGTGGGACGCACAAATGTCCCACTTGAGGACCAACTAGGGACGTCCTTGAGGGATGTCCCTGGGACAACTATCGAATATCTAAATCCTACAGTATTTCTCATCAAGCACTACAGAGGACATCCTTATAGGACATCCTTAGGACAACCTATCAGCAACGCTGAGGTATATCAATTGGATGTCCATTGGATGTCCCAGGGACGTACGAATTATTCTCGAATTTGGATTTTCCTGGGTCCCTCTAGGACCAGATCTCGCATAACTGATTAGAACATCCAGTTGAGTTGATGGTCCGTAGAAGGTCCCCAAAAAGTTTCCCAAGGATGTCCAATGGACTCACGTGAAGGACATTGACGAGGAATACTTATTGCCTACGAGCAATCATCCGTCGGCGAGGTGTAACTTAACGTCCTCGCAGGGACAACATATCGAAAATGGGACTGGGACGTCCATAGGACGTTATTTCTAGGACATTGAGAGAGTACAGTTGATGTACCAATTGGAACATCCGTCGGATATCCCTAAGGGAGATTCGAAGGATGTCCCTGAAGGACATCCCGTTTTTTATACGATCCTGGAAATATTATGGACGTCTATGCAGAGATATTTGAAGAAATGTTCCATCAGGGACATTTCATGGTTGTCTAGAAACGACATTATATAAGATCTGAAGTCATGCAAGAATATGTACTGCTCGGGACATCCGATGAATGTCCCTAAAGAAACGTTTTGAATCATATCCAATCAGGGACATGCCAAGGACGTCCTTGCATGGACATTCTACAATATGTAGGTACCACGTGGGACGTCTGAGGAATGCTATTTCTAGGACATTTGGAATTATGTACCAGCTGGGACATTTCGTGGACGTCCAAGCTCGGACATTGCATGAGATGTACGGGATGAGACGTCCCAAGGACACTTATTTTTGGATGTCCCCTTTACGAATATCCGTAATACCTGAATGTGTCGTAACTCAAACTAATTCAAATTAGTGGCAGAGCTTCGTTATTTCCGAGAATATTTCGCCCCTCTCGAAAGATAATATCTGATGGACCAGAGTGAAACTCAACATGTGGATTTGAATATTTGTAGTGCCAACAATACAACAGTTTCACACTGCTTCATCGGATATTATCTTTCGAGAGGGGCGAAATATTCTCGGAAATATCGAAGCTCCGCCACTAACTTAGATCAGTTTGAGTCGCTGTACGTTCGGATATTCGTGAAAGGGAAAGTATCCCCTTCAATGTGCTTTTTGTTTCAACTCGGAAGTATATCCGGAATAATGGCAACAAATGAATCGCTGTGCCGTGGATTAGGCTCAGATTGAGGGGTTGCACAGGTAGCATAGATAGCATAATTTTCATCTCGTTATCTAATCGCGAAATTGCGAGTAAATTACCGCACAGGAAAGCGCCAACGTTCAATCATATTGCTCAAGATAGTGATTGGCACAATGGGAAGTTTCCATCAGATGAATTTTCATAAAATAAGTTCGGAACTCCCCAGTTTTATGCCCACGCTGTAGAAAATGGTGAACGAAAAACTACAAGTCGTTTTCACTTTCAAATTGAAGCAATTTCAAATTTTCGATGCGGCAAACTGTGTCGTACTTTCTGAATCTAGCTGATGGTGAAGAATATAGCTATCGAATAGCTAACGAATGAAAAACTAATGAAAAAAATAGAAGAAGAAGTAAAACTGGTAAACAAAAACATACATAACCACAAATGCACTCGGAGCAGGAATGCAGAAGGTAGTTCGCTTCATTCTGACAGGTTATGGATTTGTTATTTAGGCATTGAGATAACTCGAATAGAGCTCGATCATGAACGAAAATATCATTGAATCAATGAATCACTACATTCAACGATACTATCCTTCCTAATTTACTGCCATCAGTCAGAACAGCATGAAGCCGACACCGATGGCTTCTTCCTCTTGTTGTGCCTGTCATTATTTTGAGTGGTGTGGTCGGACTTGAAGAATTGGGAACTGTTGCAAGACATAATCTGCAACGAGATCTGCAACTTTTCTAGAGAATAGATCCGTTTTATCAAGGAACGAATTCATTATCAAAAAAATGACTGTCAACGAGAGTGAAAAATTATAGAGACTATTGCAAAATATCATAATTCATCTTTATTAGTGATCAACTTCATTCAGCCAATGAGAGATTAATGGGAATTATTCATAATACTTGACAAAGTAGGATTGAAGAACCTATTATATCCCATTGCTGTTATGATATAGTTATCATGCATTCAAAGAACAATTTCTGGAAATCTAGACTGATAATGCCGGCAACGTCGTACTGGCACAGGGAATCGTATTCTAACTCTGATGTGTGTATGTGGATTTTCAGAAAGTACGTTATAGGAATGGTGGAGGAGCTAAGATTATTTTTTTCCGAATTGAAATCTTAGAAAAAATACGCATATATTGATTTCTTACAAACTTCACAGTGAGATAAAAACCTTAATATAGGAAAATTCCCAATTGCCGTTTAATAAAATACAATGTTTCTACATGCCTTTGGAACATATAACATTTCGTTTATCAGATGACGTTCGAAATTTGCAGCCGGCTCTCCTTTTCAATTTTTGATAAGAAATTGGAGTGGTAATTATATTGCTAGCGTAACACAATCTCAAGAGTCCATATATAAACTATACACTCTCCCAACGCACTTTTCGCCATCAGTGCCTCTGGTGTTCGGTGGCGCAACTAATCCGCATAGCGGGAATTTTGAATAATTCATGATATTTCCAAATATTTGACATAAAGAGACTCCTTCGTGGATAGTGAAAGAGATGGAATATCATGAGCACTTTATGTTTTCATCCTTTCTCACAATTTACAGACACTGTTAAATGAAAATGGTCGGTTCACACACATTCACAACAAAGAAATATCAATCGTATTCGTCAAACAATAGATGAACGCCATTTCGAAATCGATGCCTGCGCCTGCGCACTATCGCAGATCACGAATCATTGTCAAATGGCCACCTATTGTTTGGTGGCTAAACTAGAAAATGGTCGGTTCATTTAGGGTCCCTTGATGGAAATTGACGTTAAAGTCATTTCAACAGGGTAAGGACAGATCCTCGTCTCCTCTCACTCTGAAAGTGTTTGTGAAACATTTATATATAGTTCCATCCTTATTCAATTCTGGGGATAAACACTAGATTTTTGAAATTTTTGGTTTTTTAGGTTATAATGAGGTCATTGGTGTATCATATGTAATTTCCATATGAAATTCATGATTTAACTATACCAAGATATAGTTGAACAATTCTCTAGTTTTAGAGTTTACTATACTCCAGCATAATCTTCGCGAGGTAGGGAACATATATTTTGTACCATTTTGTACTAAAAGCTTAGTATATTTCACCAAGAGAGACTGTTTTTAGATTGATGTATACCAGGGTTGACTGAATCGACTGAATGAAATCTGATTTCGAGCTGAGCAGTAGTTTAACTATGAGCTGAATGAGCTGAGACTCATGATTGAGAAATGGTGGAAACCTCGATGTGGATATCTGAACTACTGTACTCTTGTTATGGGTGCTGAATATATTTTCGGAAATCCAACTTGGAGAAAAATTTATGGTGTGACTAATTCTAGGACGAAAAGTATAGGCTTATAAAAAGAAATACATGATATTGCAGGAAAATGAAGAATACAATATTACTAAATTACCCCCATGTAATACATATGATTTTTTCGTCTCACTTGAATAAAAAGTCATTTACAAATAATTTATTGATGAAAGTAGCAAAGAAGTAGGTATACAGTATAACTTATGGGCACGTTGTTTTCACTCATGCATATCATACATATTTTTAATTTGAGGTAGAGTAATAAACTGATGATGAAAGTGCAGTTTTGAGCAGGAGCCACAATTTGGTTCGAAATATTTTGGTATTTTGTGTGAGATTGCTGCACATACCCTTCAGCGATATTCGTAGACTTCCAAGCAAGAATGTCTCCTCCAGAATTTGCAAGTTAACTTGCCGAGGTTCTTCTGAAACTATGCCCGGTATAATTTATAACATCAGGCAGTTTTAAAAATTCTGCAATTTTTCTTATGAATTTTAGCAATAGAACTCTTTCCAACCATTTGGTAGATACATTTTCCTGCTCTATACCAGACAAATAAACGTGCCTGGTATATTAAATACCATATGACGTCACTTTCCAAGGGAGAAAAAGTTAGGGAGAACAAGAACTTCTCCTCGCTAGGAAGGAAAAGTACGACGTTGCTCCCTACATTGAGGCAAGGAAATGTTTACTTTGGATAGAGGTAGGCAAAACAAGCACAATAGAAAAGTATAGGTGATTTTTTAATCATTTTTAACTTGCTCAATTTACCAATTTACCAATTTTCCAGTCCGGTCTCTCCATGTTTACTTTCTATGTTTTGAGTTTATCTCCATCTGTTGGAAAGCTTACAAATTGATATTTGCCATCTAACTGATTGGCACAGCCTAACACAGCACATTTCGTCATTTGTTTCGAAAGAGAATATATGAATCGTATTCAGTAAATAATATCCTTATTTAATCGTGAAATGTTTTTATTTTTTTCGAATTTTATAATCATTAACATCCAGAAATCATTTGACACTGTCGATATTTCCTGTTTTTAAATAATATACAAAGATTATTGGGAACGAATAATGAATATCATTACTAGATTACTAGCTGACTTGGCAAACGTTGATTTGTTATGCACAATATTTCAAGAAAATATTCCTTCAGTAAAATATTCACCAGCATACTCTATTTCTTCCATTTTTTACTTCTTCTCAGTTCGACTGTTCATAAAAGCGTGTTTCTTTAGTTTTTCAAGATACTATTCATTTTATACTCGTTTTCAGCTCGGCAAACTATATCTCTTCAGTTTTTCAAACTACTATTTATGTACTACTTCTTCTCAATTCGACTAAGTTTCTACGAACGCGTGTTTGATTGATTTTTCAAACAATTATTCATTACAAATCTCTTGAATATCCCAATTTTGACAGGAAATCATAAAGTTCGACTCCGAAAACCCCAAGGTACCAAACTTTAATAGAATCAGATCATAATTAGAAATGTCTTCCGCCATATTCGATCCGTCATCCTGAATTTCACAATTTTCACGAAACAATCTACATCTCCTATCCCGATAACCCCCAGATACCAATTTTGAATAGAATCGGATCATGATGATTTTTTTGTCAATATTGCTATTGACATAATGAATTCCTTGCCAGTTGTATCGTCCAGCGAACATGAACTGAACTCTCAAATTATAACAGATACTAGCGACATTATCCTAGTTCCACTTACTAATCTAATAAACTCCATCTTCATTTCAGGAACATTTCCAGATTGTTTTAAATTTTACAAAGTAATACCGTTGTTTGAAAAAGGTGATAGAAATAATATCAACAACTATCGTCCTATTTTCATTATCTCAGTTTTTGCGAAAATAATAGAAAAAATTCTGAATAAACGATTGAGGTGTTATTTTGAGTCAAATAATTTTTTTTAGCAACACACAATATGGTTTTCGACCAAATCGCTCTACTGCTCTCGCTGTCTTGAATGTCGTGAATGATATAGTATCTACCTTGGAGGATGGGATGCAAGCTGCTATCATCTTGTGTGATCTTTCCAAGGCATTTGATTGTGTATCACATGATATATTACTTGAAAAATCAAATTATTACGGGGTTAGGGGAGTACCACTCAATCTGATACAATCCTATTTGAAAAACCGCTTTCAGGCGGAAATTCCTTTTCTGATTTCAAACATAATGAGCATGGTGTCCCTCAAGGGTCAATATTAGGACCGTTGTTGTTCATAATATACACAAACGACTTAGGCAACTATATGGTTCCGGTGGAAACTGTTTCATTTGCAGATGATACGACATTCATTTATTCTGGAAAACTGAGATCAGAGCTGTACAGTACTCACGAAGAATTAACTAATAAATCCGAAAATTGGTTTGCAGCCAATAAACTCAAACTGAACAACGATAAATCGCAAACTCTGTATCTTTCGTCTACGTATGCCATAGAAACTCATTCTGCAAATTTACTAGGAGTAACTCTGGATAGTGATCTATCTTGGAAACCTCACTTTACTAAATTGAAAAGTAAACTCAGTAGTGCTCTGTTTGTCCTACGTCAACTTCAAACTGTAACCAATTTCAATGCACTCAGAACAACATATTTTTCGTTATGTTACTCGCACATCAGTTACGCTACTATTCTTTGGGGTGGTTCGTCTGACTCTCTCTTAATTTTTCGTTTACAGAAAAAATCTGTCAGGATCTTATCCAGTGTAAGCTATCTGGAACACTGCCAACCTTTGTTTATTAAACACAGAATGATGCCCTTGCCGTGTTTGTTTATTTTTCAAGTTCTGATAGAGATTCACGAAAACTCCTCGATGCTCACTAAGCAATCTGATATACACAGCTATGGTACTAGACAAGCAGATAACCTGAGATCAAAAAAGTTCCGCCTAACTAAATCTAAGAAAAATTCACTGAATTATTATCTCTACAATATACTTCCACCAGAATTGAAATCTTTAAGTATAAACTCATTCAAAATAAGGATAAAAAACTTACTTTTGATGCACTGCTTTTATTCCACAGGAATACATTGGACATTTCAGACCTCGTAGAGAATAAAACTCGTCTCGCCAAAGTTTTTTTTGTTTTATTCTCCAATCTATTTTCTTTGTTTTAACGTTATTTTACAGTAATCTACAATATTTTCATACTATATGAAATGTGATGTATTTCTATAGTATTGTCGTTTTTATGACGTGCTACAAACATGCATTGTAATGTAGTCAGATAAATATACTCTACTCTACTCTACTCTACTCTATTATTGAAATTTTGAATGATTTTCTGTAGCGCCCATGGACGTGACATGACAGCAATGTCAGGGATGCCAGTAGACAAAACTAAAGTCTCTAGATCATTAAAAAAGAATGCAGCTATGATCTGTCCGTACCCTGTTAAGATGACTTTAACGTCAAATTTCCATCAAGAGACCCTAGGTCCATTGAAGTTGGAGGTCTATAGAGTGTAGTTTGTTTATGTCAAGAGTCCCTCATGCACAGAAAGAAAAATTCGGCACGAAACGCGTCTCTTTCAACTGGCTGGCGGGCATGGATCAACCGGAAGCGGCCGAGGAAACGGCCTCTACGCCGTCCCGTATCACCCACAAGAGCATCAGCGACAGCTGCATCTCCATGCAGGAGCAGGCTGCTGAGCGCAACTGTGTGGCGGAAAGCCCGCTGCTGAGCGTGCTCAGCTCGAACAAGCTGCCCAAGAGTCAGCAAGGGGGGACCGTGTATATGTCGTGTGAGTGAACCACAGGCCACGTGTCAGATATTTCTACAAATATTTATCATTATTAGAGACTAGCCATAGCAACACTATACGAGAAATATTGCCGATATGACCGACCCTGGACGTAAAACATTGAAACACAACCTCACTTTTCTATAAAACATTGAAACACAACGTCACTCTTCTCATTTGTTGACAAAGAAATCAATGCATTGAAGTAGTTTTTCACAATATTTCGACATTCTAATCGTGTTTTTTGGGCTATTCGAATCAATTCAAGCATGCTATCACATTGTGCTGCTGTACAGGGTGGCTGGAATTCGAGCCTCATCATTGGGATCTCGTGCACCGTGAGAGATACAGGGTCGGTTGAATTATGGCAAAGTTGCGCAATTCCATGCCTAAAGAAATGCCGTTCTGAAACTTGGAAAATTCCGAATACTTTCGGAGATATCCGAAAAAATTTCGAAATTCCATAAAAACGTTCTTATTTTTTTCTGGCGATATCTGAAGAAATTGATCGATTTGAATAACACTTTATCGAGGCCACTTTTTCTTTCCTACAACATGGCGTTTTCAAATTTTAAATCTGACGTTTCGTCTTCCAGAAACCATCATCAACTTACTTTTTTCAAATACGGACCTGGATTTTTTATTTTATTTTATGTTACCTTCGGATAGTCCAAAAACTATGAGCTATCACAAATTTCGTTTTCCAAATGTTTCAATTACTAAAATTCACAGTTTCTTTATTTTTTCCAAATATTACCGAGAATGGAAAATGCGGCTATGCTTTTAGAGATGAGAAAATACAACCACTCGTCTGGGTGGGGCTGTATAGAAACAGAATCTTGGGGCCAATTATTTATGATGAGAATTTAAATAGTGATCAGTACCTTCATTTCATCCAAAATTCAGATGCTCTTGAAGACGAGCCGTTGAATATACTCCAGCAACTATGGTGGCAACAGGATGGCGCACCACCCCACAATGGAAGGGCCGTTACTCAGTATCTAAATGAAACATTTCCCAATCAGTGGATTGGAAACCAAGGAGTGGTGCGCTGGCCTGCAAGAAGCCCCGATTTATCCCCGCTGGATTACTTTTTATGGGGATATTTGAAAAACCGTTTATTCAATGATATTCCAGGGGACATAAATATTTTACGACAAAATTTGATGTTTGAAATAACAACCCTACGAGGTAGAGGAAGAATGATCCAGCGCGCGCTTACTGGCAATTTGCAAAGACGCATACGAAAATTCCAAGAGGTGCAAGGGGGACTATTCGAGCATTTACTTTAGAATTTCATTTTGTTCTTATCACAATTTAGTTACATAGTTCACATATTTTTTACCCTTAGTTATATTACAGATGAATAATAACTCGAATAATAATGTTTCAAAAATAGTTTCGGATTAAATATTTTGAAAAAATAGAGAAACTGTGAATTAAAGTCATTGAAACATTTGAAAATAGGAATTTGTGATAGCTCATAGTTTTTGGGCTATTTGAAGGTAACAAAAAATTAAAGAATCCAGGTCCGTATTTAAAAAAAGTAAGTTGATGATGGTTTCTGGAAGACGAAACGTCAGATTTCAAATTTGATAACGCCATTGTAGGGAAGAAAGAGTGACCATGATAAAGTGTTATTCATATCGATTAATTTCTGCTAATAACGCAAGAAAAAAATAAAAACGATTTTATCGAATTCCGATTTTTTTCGTATATCTCCGAAAGTATTCGGAATTTTTTGAGTTTCAGAACGGCATTTTGTTGAGTATCAAATTGCGCAACTTTGCCATGATTCAACCAACCCTGTATCTCTTACGGTTTACGTACGAACAATAAATTGTTGAGGAAAAAACATAGCTAATGTAGAAATCAAATTATAAAAAGGAAAATTAAAAAGAGCAGTGGAGTCATTTAACCAAATTATCAGTTTGGTGAAGGGATACTGAAATTCTTTAACCGACTAATCAGCCGAATAAACCCAACGATCATCAGGTTCACCATTGGCACAAAATGTAAAAATGTCTACAATACACACGATCATATTTCATCAGCATGTCACACCAGTCCTCCCGTTTGATTGCATGAATCCATCGATCTTCTTGCCTTCTTTCAGAAACTTCATGAGTATTTCTATCAGCTCCTATTGCAGGAAGAATTCCAATGAGAAATTAAGAAATGAAATGAAAAATTGGATTCCTTCGTCTCTCGCTGCATTTTTTGTGCATTGTACAACACAGCACAATGTGATGGCATGCTTCAATCAATGAAAGATTCTTATGCCCAAATAATTGTGGAATTTTTGTCAGAAATTCATTGGAGCTAGGCATACAATAACGTTAATATTCTTCAAGTAACAGAGAGATTCGGGCAGCTACAAATGGAAAAATTGGGCAGCTTTTTTGAACAAATAATACATTCAAGAAAGGAACTTTTGGAACTTCACTGGGAAAACCCTGGACTATTCCGGGCAGTGGTAAGAATAATTCAACAGATGGATATTTACCTGTGTGCACGTGTAGATGAACAACTGAATGTAAAAAATGTTGTATTTCGTGCAAAATAATTTATTCAATTCTTGAACCAGAGCGCTTCCGACTAAAATGTGATGTGTTATACCTACTAAAATAGTATATGTCAATTTCAAACCATTTAGAATGTAAAATTAATGTAAAAAAAACGAACCGCAATACATATTAAATACACAAACCAACAACAAACAGAATTTGTATATATAAAAACAGATAACAAGTAAATAGGAAATCACAAAAGTGTTGAAATGTGTCAGAGTAAAATTCCTGTAAATTATAATAAGCTTTATGTAACAGTAAGTTTTTCACAGATTTTCTAAAAATGTTCAAATTGGCAGTGTTTTTGACATAACTAGGTAGATGATTGTATATCTTGCAGCCGTTGTAAATAACAGAATTATTAATCAGTGATGATTTAGGAAGTGGCAGACTTACGTTCATAGCTTGTCGAGTGACATAGTGTGAAGGAAGTTTGTTAAACGTGTTCAGATGTTTCCTTATCAAACAAACGATTTCTAATATAAAAATTGCTATTATCGTGAGTATTTTATGTTCGATGTATAAAGGCTTACAGGAGTCACGAATTTTAGTTTTGCACTTAAATCTTAGCCCTCTTTTTCGAAGAACAAGAATACTGCTCATGTAGTTAGCATTATACATGCACCCCAGAATGGGATGCTATACCTGAGATGAGACTCAATTAGGGAATAGTAAACGATTCTAGCCGCACCCAATCCCAACTCCTTCGAGACAATCCAATTGTCATCAGGAGCGAGACAGTACTGTTACTACTGTTTCGACCCACCAAGTCTCCTCAGCCGCTCTCGGTCTGCTGACTGGGACAACTCTACGTTTCGGGTATATCACCCATTCCGAAGACGCAGGGTTTAACCTGAAGTTTTATTCGTGTTGTAGCCATCTAGTGGCAAAGCTCTAATGTAGGATCAAGAGAACGCGACACACACTGTATGGCGCTGCCATCTATAGTCACATGTACATCAGACCCGTACGTCTATACGCTACAGGGTGGTACTACAAGTAAACCACTCTGCTGACAGATGGCACTTCCTAACATATACTTCCCTAATAGCACACAACGTCCTAGGGACGTCCCTATTCGGTACAATTCACGTCAGAATGTCCCGAATCAAAAATAAGTGTCCTTGGGACGTCCCATCCCGTACATCTCATGCAATGTCCGAGCAAGGACGTCCACGGAATGTCCCAGCTGGTACATCATTTCAAATGTCCTAGACATATCATCCCTTAGATGTCCCACGTGGTACATATTGTAAAATGTCCATGCAAGGACTTGACTAGTCTAGTCTAAGGGTAGACACCAGCCAGCCTGCGTGGTATCAGCCAAGCAAGTAGTTGTTCTTCACTGTCATCTACCATTTTTGTTTCGTTTTTGAACATTTGTGGAAAATACTTCGAATTTTTTTGAGCTTTTCCAGAATTGAAGAATTTACTTCACTACTGAGAAGTATATGCACCAGAATTCTGATACAAAACACTTTGTGGTTGTAGCTATAGTGAGTCGAAACGGTGTTCATTTGTGACGTAATCAAAAAATATATTCTCATTTCAACAGAGAACGATGAATAGTGGATTGGTCCCTTCGTATGAAATACGTCACATAATTTTATTATTGTTCAAAATCCAACCTGTATGGTCCATCATGCATGTCCTACTTCGCTATTTTTCCATTTAAAATATTTCAGAAAGTTGAAAGTTCTAACTTTCAATTGAACATGCTTACATGGGTAGTTAGCAACACACGTGTTGATGTGTGAGAATGATAATGTACATTTGTGTTAAAGTTGATTTTTTTTTCATTTTTTCGTAGAGTGGCTTTATAATATAATTGAATATAGGAGATTAAAATTTCAGAATTCTGTACCGTAGATAACTGTTCTTTTTCTCTAGATTTTCACTGATGACGAGGATGACTGTATGAAGCAGTTGAAGGAGCTTTTGAAGTATACTGTTGAATGCCACAATACTTCAAAACAGATATTTTCATTGGATCACCCGAGTTCGACAGATGCCATAAACTCTAGACTGAAAAGTTTGAAACTGGATGAAACTTATTATGTTCGTAAATAAAGGTTTTGTAGTTTTATTGAATGTATCAACTCTGTCATTTATACTGACATACCAACTCTTCCATTTTGATTTGTTAGGAAAACAATTTTGTAATTGAGTGAACCAATTTTCATGTATAATTATATATCATTAAATCAATTGAAAGATATTGTTTTCAAACAATTCCTAATTGAAGATGAGACGACAATTATGAAAACAAAAAATATATGCATTATTGAATCTCATTCATTTCGTTTCAGTAATAATATTGAAGGCTCTTGAATAAATCAGAAGTACCTATACGATATACCATTCCAGCGAGCACAAACATCCCTGGGATGTTTTGGGATGTTTTGAAAATGTTGGCATGAAGATTTTATTTTATTTCATCCATTCCGTCAAATATAATTATAAACATTCAAATCTGAATTTTGAAGTCAATAGTCATAAACACGAACACATAACCAGACAAAAAGATATGTTAACTCTCATCAAAATTAAATCAGATATGGGTAAAAGATCTATTTTATACAATGGAACAATTCTCCATAATGAATTACCTGCCAGACTAAAGAAAAAATTAAGTGTTGAAAAAATCGAAAAAGAACTGAAAAAATACTTATGTCTTTTATTCTCTTCATGTAATCCTGAATCAATTCAAGAAATTATATTCAACAGTCTCTAGAAGAAACAACATTATATATTATGTATTATGTGTATGATTTAAAAATGATTATCTGATTATCTAATTTTTGTTTTTTTAGTTGCTCTTTCATAATTTTCCCTGCTATAAACATGTATGTTTCTTGGGAATAATAAAGATAATGATAATAATAATAATATGCATTGACCAAAGAGGTCTTTGAAGGATTAAAGTATTGTTTTTGTTCTTCTGTGGCATTTCTTTGTTTACCTACTGAGAGGTATCCCTGGGATGTTTTGGGATGTTTTAGAAATGTAGGCATGAGGATGTTTTTTTGAGGCGTAATATGCACTTCCCAAAGAGGTCTTAAAAGGATATTGAAAGTATTGTTTTTGTTCTTTTGTGCCCTTTCTTTGTTTGCCCCCACCACAACGTCTCATGTTTACGTCACAATACGATGAATTCTGATTTGTTTTCGATTTTGTTCTTCTTGTTCGCAATTGGCATTCGCGTTTGCAGCGTGTCACGCTTACATCACGCTGCTAACGAACAGAAAGGAATTTGGTGAGAAGACTTATTTAATTTGTAATAATGACCATCACATGCAAGATGTGTTGTTTGGTGCCTCAGTGTAATCAATATATGAAAGTACGAATTCATCAATACAAAGCTTCTCCGCAGTTGCAAAATTATGCATTGTGGAGAACATTTCAAAAATTGGGAAACCTATTTCCAATTATATGTCTGTGTGTAGTAAGCACTACTCAGAAACCGATTAAGAAGGTAATTTCATATCAAGAAAATATTTTTATGTTCAATCTATTTTTAATGCATTTTTTCATTCAAGGGAAATGGAACCCTAATGCAAAAGTTCATTTTGACGAAAGGCTTCAGAAAAGTACCTCGAAAATGTTTTTTTACAGCGATTTAATGTGCGCAAGACACGTTGAAAATGTTTTGCTGTGTCCATGAAAAGGCTTTAAAAAGAACTAGGGAGAAGGTAGTTATGTGACATATCAAGGACATCTCGATAATTGCCGCCTGCGGCGGACATTGGCTGTTCTATAATAGTTCTATTCATGTGTGAACAGAACATCGCAGTGGAGGTTCAATGTCTCGAAATCTCGTACTTTTAACATCTCTGAGATGTTTTTGTGCTCGCTGGGATATTGTATACAGGATATCCCAGAATTACATAGGATGATTTCAACCACAAAATCTAGGAACAAAAATAGTAAAAAAAGTTCATGTAAACATGTGCCCAGAAATGGCCTCCTGGGGAGTTATAGTCATCTGAAAGAGGGCCCAAGACGATGGTTTTTTGTAAATATTTCCAAAATCCTTCGTGTTCAGATAACGAAATTTTGTACATTTATATTACTTTTCATGCTCGATTTGAACATGTTAAGAATTTTCCGAAATTTTGATCAGGGGCATGGAAAATAGGTGGGGCTGACTGGTGTCACTTATTTGAATTTGAATTTCTTCAAGTGTACCTTCTTCTTCTTCTTCTTCTTCTTCTTTTTCTTCTTCTTCTTCTTCTTCTTCTTCTTCTTGATGATGATGAGGTTAGGAATCCGCATACGAAGTTTGTCGGTCGTATTCCGACTCACCCTGTAGACTATTTTTCTCGCGAAATCTTATTTTCGCTATGAAACGGATACCTATACTAGATCAACAAACTAACAGTTTCATCGCTTCCTTATAGCAGGAACAAAATTCGTTCTCAAAATAGCATCACGTGCATGTATATGAACTTTAGATCATCCAGAATTTTCACGATAAAGCGGGAAATACTGGTCATAATATGCCATGCGCTTCTGTTACGTTCTTCCTAGAGAATCGATACACCAGGCCTCACCTATAACGAAACCTATATGGATTCTTCGACTGCTAATCAGCTTAATCAAATTGGAAATGTTCATTCAGAATTCAGGCTGAGATGTTTATAATTATTCCTCTATACATCTATATTCAGGCCATAAACAATTCAACGAAATGACGTCTGCGGACGAATGTACGTAATCATTCATACAGGAAACGAGATAAGAAACAAATGAGGTGAGTTGATGTATGCATGGGCTTGATGTTATTGTTATTATAAATGTGTAATTGTGTAGTGAATAGTGAAGTTCGTGTGCTATTTTGACATGGATTTCTAGGATACATTTGATTCCAGAATTTATACTGTTTTCCAAGACTAGGATTGATGTAAGTTGTCAATATTGCACCGGGTGTTCCATTGGAAAATGAACATACGTCAACCAAGGGCGGTTTTTAAGGTGAGTATACAGGGTGTCCCATAGGTCATGGGTCTAAAAACGTGGGGTGGTAGGAGGGGTCGTTTCCAGTCAAACTAACCGCATATGTGGTTATCCAATTGTTGATGGTTCAAGAGTTATTATTTTTCTTTCATTTCTATAAAAAAAATAACTCCAATAAACCTATGACACATTTGTGATTTTTTCTTCTACATATTTCATCCACATGGATGCACTTTTCCCAAAAATAATTTTATGACATGTTACTTCTTATCAATTGAAAAATTGTTTTAAAATTGTTGTTCTCGGAGAAAAATGTTGTTTTCCTTAAGTTTTGTCATTGAATGAAATATTCAAACTGAGTTTAAAATGTCCCTGGCAGATTTAAAAACTACACAACAAAGATAACCAATTTAAGAAAGATTTGCCCATTTTTAACAGATTCCGAAATGGTATAAAATATGTAGTTAATCGAAACAACCTCTTTGTTATTAATTTTTTTTCAATGGGTCGCGTTTTTCAGTAAAATCATTGATACAAGACTTATGGGACACCCTGTATTGGGGAGGGGGTGATAATAATCACTTTCGTGATGTTTTTAAAAATGGTCTCTTCAGCATGATATATTAATTTTGCTCTTCATTTTATTTTTAATTACTTCAGAATTAGACCAGGGTCGATAATTTTTGGAACAAAAAAAAAAAGTAGAATAAAACTTTTTGGAAAATGAAACAGAACATACCAAAAATGAAGGGAAAAATAAATTACGGCCGATCTGTGAGGAAGTGGAAGGGTGTAAGCTTTTGAGGGTACAAAATGATTAATCTAGGCAGAAGTACAATAAGTCCTATGGAAGAGAGTTGAATGGCAATGTTGTAGGTAACAAAAGGGGGTGGCGGAAATTTGATCGAAACACAAATGATAGAAAAACATTTGATAGAAGTCTTTTGATCGAAAATCAAAAAATAGAAAGACATTTTCACCGAAAATACATTTGATCGAATGTTGTATGATAGAAAATACATTTGATAGAAACATGAATGATAGAAAATACAATTGATAGAAAAAATATTTGATAGAAAATACACTTGAACGAAACAGCATTTGATAGAAAATTCAACTGGGCTACGCTCAAGTTAGGTCAGTTCGTTTGTGAAGATATGATCCTTCCTCATATTTTTGAGAAGAAGGAGCTAGAAGTTTGTGGTATCAATAAATTCATCAGCTTCGATTTCCATCTAGCTCCTTCTTCTCAAATATATGAAGAAGGATCATATCTTCACAAACGTACTGACCCAACCTTGAGCGTAGCCATGTTGAATTTTCTATCAAATGCTGTTTTTATCAAGTGTATTTTCTATCAAATATTTTTCCTATCAATTGTATTTTCTATCAAATGTATTTTCTATCATGAAACATTCGATCAGATGCATTTCTATCAAAAACACTTTCGATCAAAAGACTTCTATCAATGTTTTTTTATCATTTGTTTTTCGATCAAATTTCCGCCACCCAATAAAAGGATCTATAACTCTATAACTCTTGTCGATACTGTTCTTGGAGCTGGAAAAAATCGGAATACGGGGTCCAGCGATGAGCTGGATGAAATCATATCATTGCCGTCGCCAACAAATTGTATATTATGCATATGGTGTAAAATCCACCCCCCTTTCGACTAACATCGGATTACCTCAAGGCAGGCTATACTATCTCCAACCTTGTTCCTTATAATGAACAATGATTTGCCAAGTATTGCTCCAGCTAAAACTTCACCAATTCTGTATACGGACGACTATAATTTGAGAACATACTAGAGAACATACCCAAAATATAAGGTCCAAAATGGATGAATGATCAAAACAGAATTGTCTGAGTTTTCATAATGAAAAATCTCATATTATTCCTTTCGAAAATGAAAATAAACCCTTGGGCTATAGTATCCTAGTGAGATCAAATGATGGGAGTAGTAAGTTTTTGGACATTCACCTCGACTCCAAACTGAGCTGGGTTTCACATACTGAGGCACTATGTAAAGCCTTAAACTCTTTCTTTTTTGTTTCGAAAACTCAGACCGCATCCCAGCGAGCACAAAAACATCTCAGAGATATTAAAAGTACGAGATTTCGAGACATTGAACCTCCACTGCGATGTTCTGTTCTCACATGAATAGAACTATTATAGAACAGCCAATGTCCGCCGCAGGCGGCAATTATCGAGATGTCCTTGATATGTCACAAAACTACCTTCTCCCTAGTTCTTTTTGAAGCCTTTTCATGGACACAACAGAACATTTTCAACGACTCTAGCGCACATTAAATCGCTGTAAAAAAAAACATTTTCGGAGTACTTTTCTGAAGCCTTTTGTCAAAATGAACTTTTGCATTAGGATTCCATTTCCCTTGAATAAAAAAATGCATTAAAAATAGATTGAACATAAAAATATTCTCATGATATGAAATTACCTTCTTAATCGGTTTCTGAGTAGCACTTACTACACACAGACATATAATTGGAAATAGGTTTCCCAATTTTTGAAATGTTCTCCACAATGCATAATTTTGCAACTGCGGGGAAGCTGTGTATTGATAAATTCGTACTATATTGATTACACTGATGCACCGAACAACACATCTTGCATCTGATGGTCATTATTACAAACTAAATAAGTCTTCTAACACAATAAACTTCAGCGAATTTCTTTCTATTCGTTAGCAGCGTGATGTAAGCGTGACACGCTGCAAACGCGAATGCCAATTGCCAACAAGAAGAACAAAATCGAAAACAAATCAGAATTCATCGTATTGTGACGTAAGCATGAGACGTTGTGGTGGGGCAAACAAAGCAATGCCACAGAAGAACAAAAACAATACTTCAAGTGCATATTACGTCTCAAAATAACATCTTCATGCCAACATTTTCAAAACATCCCAAAACATCCCTGGGATGTCAGTGATTCCACTACTCATACTTTACTATGGCCAATAGGTACTACCCAAAGCTATCGTACAGCGTGATCTGTTGGGGGTAATTCGCGGAATATTGAGGCAGTATTGATATCACAAAAGAATATAATCCGGCAAATTGCGAGAGTACCTCGGATGCACTCATGCAAAGAACTTTTCATTTTATAAATATAACCTGCTCACCGTTATTTCAGTATATATTTTTGCATGCTCAGTGTATGTGGAACGTAGAATGAATCAATATAAAACCCTCCAAGATGTTCACAGTTACGATACTCGTGGAACAACTAGAATATGCACTCCTCATTATCGCCTAAGCAGTGTCATGGATGAGCCCCATGCAATTTCGAACAAAATATTCTATAATTTACCATCTGAAATCAACCCCTCAGGGGCTCACAACTTGTGAGTACGGGAATGGTGAACCCGAGGTATCCTACTTCACCATACTTCAACTTGTCTTGGGTGATATCCTCTTTTCTCTTCCTTTTTCAATCCATCTATCGGCCTTTCTTGTCCAACTTCTCTTTTCCTCCTCCTCTCCAAGCCCAACCTCACCATCAAGTGTTGTGGGGAGGACAGACCGCGGCCGCTCAACGGATGAAGCATTTTGGGACCATCTTTGCTATCTCCGACCAGATGGGACAATTTGTGGACATCTGTGGCAGGGATGGGGCGATTTGCTGATATCTGTTTAGGTGGCCGAGGACTGGTCGACGAGGCTCTGGCAACCTAACCCAAGCTGTGGGAACCCGTGGTGATGGATGAGGCACCGAGGTATGGTGTCGCTAACGGGGCTTCTGGGAAACAGGGCGACATCTCAGAGTAAGTAGCCTTAGCCCTGTGCAGGGGGCACCACAGTGCTGCGGACCAACCCCTTCCCCCGTCACTCGTAGGAGAAGGAAAACTCTTGGCCTTCTTCGTAGACGAGAACAGGGATCGGAAGAGCAATCTTCAGGAACCTGAACGAAAAGGGTCTTTCATATTGAAGTGGCCCTTAAGAAGCACCATGAGTCGTATATGGTAAAATTGATAACGGCATGTAGGTAAGATACAATGGGCCACTAGGTCTAAGTGTCGTCGGAGACTTCGGACAGACGAGCCTACAAACGGGGTCGAATGTTTAGTGGGTATACCTGGAGTCAGGGGACTCCCACACTATCATATGGGGGATTGAACCCATATGGTGTCCATAAAGGATTTTAACCACCTCGATGAAAAAAAAAAATCTGAAATCAACGACATCTTGAGCATAAACAGGTTCAAGATAGGATTGAAAAACTATCTGTTACCAAAACATTATTACTCAGTAAGTCAGTATTTTGCCAGTAAACCAAAACTGTAATCGAGATGAAGATATTCATGAACATCAAGACATCTGGATTTCAATTGTAATTTTATATCTTAATATTATATCGTATTTAGTGTAGTTTATTATCTATTGATGAAAACTTGTGTTTTACATTTTCTGACGCATCCTATATCATACATGTCTGTTTCAACCTCTTATATGGATATGTCTTGATCTGAAAAGATTGAAGAAATTATAATTTTTTTTATTCCGAAGCAGCACAAAATCGTCAAATCTGACAGATAACTGAAACTTCCATTTTGATATTTCCTTCGCTTCATAACTGGTTGACGGAAGGCACTTCCTCGCATAAGACAATCTTATTTTTCTAGTGATCTTCCTCATTTTTTTTCAAATCTTAACAAAACGATTACGACTCCTCATGAATATTGCAATAACAAGAACAAGATCAAATGGCCAAGGTTGAAAGATGCTAGATCACAGCATGAAGTGCATTGATTCGATCATCACCCGGTATACCAATTCAAATCCATCGAAAACTGACAAGTACACATTCATTTAGTGATCTCTCATTACCTAGCTATATCTCATAATAACTGGTTCTTATGCAATCTCTCCTAATAAGTAGCTGCTTCAGCGAATATATTGGTGAACAAACACCCTCAGGCAATATTCCAATACCTGCGGTTACAAATGCTACAATTATTATTATTCATTCATGGTTCTTTGCGTTTCAGTGATCGATGGATTTGTTAGTTGCATTGATCGCAGTTTCTGAAAAAGCAGCCAACGTGGCCAGATTGATAAGGCAGAATGGGCACCTGTTCGATTTGTTGGTGCAGCGGAAGAAGACCAGCGAGTCCAATCCGAGGTTCGTGGACGACTTCAAAACGTTGGCGGACGTCCTCATTCAGGAGATGGTCAAGCACGATATCGGGAAACAAGTGAGTGAGATAAGTGTACTGATTTTTGAAGAGATATGTCGCAAAGTTGTCAGATTGGCATATCTGTTTGGACCTTCAATTGGCACCAATAGACCGACATGTAGTGACAGATTTTCAGACGTGATTTCATCTCAGTATAGGTCGCGTGCACGATGATCGACCCTGGGGGTAAAATATTGAAACACAACCTCACTTTTCTGTAAAATATTGAGACACAACCTCACTTTTTCATTTGTCTACTGAGGAATAACATTGAAGGATTGACATAGTTTTTTACAATATTTTGGCATACGAATCGTGTTTTTTGCGCTATTCATTGATTCAAGCATGCCTTCTCATTGTGCTGTGGAAATAGTAGCAAGAGCCTTTTAAAGAAGTTTACCTGTACTCTTTCAAGGATGTCATGATATAATACCACAAACAGGAATACAAATCGTCATCACACTCAAAATTGTCGCATCATAAAGTTTTATTCTGCCTTGCCATGAATTGATTTTGGTCTTTGCCATTATGGTAAACTGGTGTCTGATATAGTCGAGGGTTTTGAAAATGGCCAACAAACTGCGGTAACTTTATGTGACCTAAGCAAAGCCTCCGACTGCGTTCCACATCGAGGTTTACTTGAAAATCTTGAACTTTATGGAGTTCGAGGGACAGCTTACTCCTTTTTCGAGACATATATATGCGGGAGAACTCAATACGTGTCATACAAGAATAATACGTCAGCGTTGAAGCCGGTAACCTCAGGAGTGCCCCAAGGATCAGTTCTTGGGCCACTTCTGTTCATAATATTTATAAATGATATATTCTATCACATCAAACCAAGTCAGTGTATATTGTTTGCTGATGATATAACTTTTTACAATTCCGCCCTGAATTCAACAGAACTTCATCAGAATGATGTTGAAGCTTCTAACAGAATCAGTGAGTGGCTCATTCCCAACAACCTGATTCAAAATGACTCCAAAACGCAGTCAATTACTTTTTTCTCCAACACTGTCGTTGCCACAAATGTACCAGTAAAACTGTTAGGTATCACCCTAGACAGCAAACTTAGGTGGGCTGAACACATTGACATACTGTGTAAAAAGTTGTCAAGTCAAACCTTCATCCTCAGGCGGTTGAGGAATACTGTTGATGAGGAAGTTCTGAAAATGTCATACTTCTCACTGTTCCACTCACATCTGAGTTATGGCGTGATTTTGTGGGGTAACTCTACCCACGCAAACCGTGCCTTCATTCAACAAAAGAAAGCAGTTAGGGTAATTGCCAAGGCAGCTTACAAAGATTCATGTAAACCCTTATTCAGGGCATTGGAAATATTGACACTTCCTGCACTTTATGTGTATTATTGTTTGGTTTAAATACATGATCATGTTCACAGCTATAGCAGATCTACACAGCTACTTCCCCAGAAATAACTCCCAGCTCATCAATCCTAGATTTCGTCTCAATATTTCATCAAACACCTCAATCAATTTGAATTTATATAACAAAGTACCAGAATCTTTCAAAGAGCTCAGCTCCTCAAAATTTAAATTAGCTATCAAACAGCTTCTACTGAAACACAGTTTTTACTCGGTGGATGAATTTCTGTCCTGTGATTTAACAAGAATAACACCATGACACATATATGAAAATACACCCATCTTACGTACCTACTACTTTTAAAAATATTTTCAAACCATAAATTAGTGTTGTGTAACTATATGTATACTTGTTGCTTTTATTTGTTCTGTTCACATATCCTCTATTTTTAATATTTTTTATAACGATATTTATATCTACGGACATGTTCCAAACTATTTGACGTGTGTAATAAATGAAATTTTCGAAGACACCAATAAATTCTATTCTATATTCTATTCTATGGGCAGTGATGCACCAATTGCTTGTTTTGCTCTATTGGCTGGTGAAACCGCCATCTCACGAAAAAATGAGGATGAGGGGAAAGTCACTCTCAGATTGACGTACTTATTTGTCACAGATATTTCGGCATTGTTAAAATAGAACTCATATCCTGTGTTGTTATAGTCCTGCGAGCACCTTTGAAAAAATACATTTTTTTGGCATCAATTTTCAATTCATTTTTGAAGGTGTATTCCTCTAAGATTCTGAGTTATCTAGATATGTCTATTTCGGAGTGCCCTGAAATTACTAGATCATCAGCGTAAAGAAGCATTAGTACATCGGTGAAGTTATCAATATTGATTCCCTTGATACGCTGTTTCTGAATAAAACTATCTAATCACTTAGAGATTATGATAGTATAATCTCAGAATCACTGGAATGCAAGAGAAAGCACAGCAGTCACCGACTAACTCAATCAATGCTATGGGTTCGAACCAAAAAAAAATTATATTGCGCCAGTGAATTGTAAGAGCCAGTCCAACTCACAGGATGCTCCTGATATTGCGATGGGGAATTCCAAGTGATTGTATAGTATATCCAATATCAATGGCAGAATATTCCGCACTGAGCGGCATCGGTGCGTTTGAAGTTTTCTTTGAAGTGACTGCAGGTGCGGCACAAGATTCTGCAATTGTTTTTGGAAAAACTATAACAATGAGCATTTGAAGACGGCAGTCGCGTGCGGGAAAGAATCACTTTCCGAACTTGTTAGGAAAATTACTATTCCATAGCAACTTTTTCGTGGAACCATAATTTTTTTTTAATACGGTCCTGACGTGTCCTGATTGTGCGTTCGCAGATTCTGGAAGCCTTCTATTATTGATAATTTCAGTTTCCAGAACTATCGGATCATATAAATGGAGAAGAAAATAACGTGTTCAAGAACAAACTGGGGGAAACCATCTACGTAGAAATAAAGCCTTCCGAAATAGAAACGTCGAATTTGCTAGAAACAGTCCTAGATGGGGACCAAATAGCTGCTGCCCTGCTATCAGCGGAAGTTCACAGGCAAATAATGTTAGGAGAAATTGGGGTGACAGTGCCAGAAGACTTTACCGTGGATATGAACGAACTGGGAATATGGATAGACCCAATAGGCAAGTACCAAGACAGGGTGATACGAAATAAATACATATTGTCACGTTATTCGTGGGCAGAAGTAAACTCTGACACTACTCATCCATGAACTGATTTATTCAATAAAAAAAAAACACTTTTATTTTTGAGTCATCATTAATATTTATTCCAAATGATTTGAACCACACGGTATACAGCTGTCCCACTGACACTTACTGACTGACTACTGTGCCAATGACGGCTAAATATCAAGAAGATATCAAGTAAGCTGTCGACCGCAATTCAGGCAGCTTACTTGATATTTAGCCGTCATATTGACTGTGCGAACCGCTTCGTCCTATACTGGGTGTTATTTACGTATATGTCCAAACTCAAGAGTTGATTTTTCCAGTAATTCTAAGTCGAAAAGTTCATATAAACATGCTGATAATTTCGTCTTCGACTCTGGACAAAATTTCAAAATATTCGTGTTCCCAAATCCATTTTTATAATAAGCGAAGCTCCCGTGGTATCATAACTGATAAAAGAGGTGCATACTTTTTAAACGATGTCAAAATCACTCACGTCATCGTCAAATAGCGTTTTCTGTGGGGGAGTAGATTTATTGCTGTTATAATGACAAAATCACGGCGGCTTATGGGATTTTTTATGCTTTAATGAATCAAATTGTTGCTGGAAAACTTCGGGAGAAGTGTTTTCTCTGTCATAATGACAAAATCACAGCGACTTGAAGGATTTTCATACATGAATCAAATTGTCAATGAGAATATGATCTTAACGTTCGCAATTGAAATTCCATGAATGAGTGAGGAATACAGGGTGAGTCATGAGGAACTGTACATACTCCTACCACAAATAAAGGCCCCTGAGGAAAATACCGAATGTCCATCATAAAGGTGTCTTCTACACTTTTTTTCCAAGGTGAACACGTCTTTTGGTCATAACTTCATCTGATTTTTTCATGGCATATTACGCTACTACTCTGTAATCGACTGCCTTATTCAGAATCGGGAAAATCCAGCTCCGTTCTTGACAAATTTTGTGAGTTCAGTTAATAGCAAGAAGTTCATCCTGTATATCGTTTTTGTAAACTGTGCCAGGAAATTTCCAAGGGTCACAAACAAACATCAAAAATAGAAGCTTTTCAAATTTTCCTCACACTTTCACTGCAGTTTGAAAAGAACTAAGAATTTTATGAAAAAACGAAAATTTGGCAAAAAATTTATTCAGCTCAATGGAAATCAGCATATTATTTTATTTTCAGGCCTGGATTTAGTAATTCAATTTTTTTGTGGAGGATACTAATCACCCTGTAGATCTTTTTCGAATCAGTAGATGAGGTATATGTGAAAATGTTGATTGCCATCGCTATAAATAATTTTATAATTTCAATTCACAGTTTTATCTTTTCCATTTATCACTTATTTTCCGTAGAATTATTATCCGCCTTTGTCAGTATATAGCTTTTGAAAAATAATTGGGAGTAAACCTTTATTTTCTGTTCGAGTATCTTGAATTATTTGAATGGATGACCATCAAAATCATAACAGATACCCTATCCACTGATTTGAAAAAGATCTATACAGGGTCAGTATCACCCTCCACAAAAAATGTAATGACGAAATCCATGCCTGGAAATAAAAGAATATGTTGATTGATTGGCGTTGAGCCTCGAAAATGTGATTTTCACTACCATTCGTGAAATTCATGCGAAGTTATTATTTTCGAATGAATAAATTTGTTGTCAAACTTTCGTATTTGCTTGAAATTCATCGTTTTTTGAAAAATTCTGTGGAAGTGTGAGGAGAATTTTGAATATTTTATTCCTGATGCTTGTTTGTGTGCTTTGAAAATGCCCTGTCACTGATCACAAAAACCAAATACAGGATGAACTTTTTGATAAAAACTAAACTATCAACATTTTCCAAAAACGGTCCTGGATTTTTCCGATTCTGAGTAGGTCAGTCAATTAGGGTTCAGTAGAGAAATATTCCATGAAGAAATCAGACGAATCGAAGGAGCTGTTGAAAAGTTTTATGACCAAGAGATGTTTTTGCCAAATCTCATAATTTACCCTATATATTGGTAAAGAAGAAAAGAAGACACTTCCTGATGGACATTCGGTATTCCAATGATGGAAGTTAGATATGGTGTGCGCATTCGGCCATTATTACGTATTGAAAATTTCAGAAAAATCACTCTACCGGCCTACTATGATTTCTCTACGTCACAACGAGCGAGACGTTGATTCTACATTGTCCCGCTAGATGGTGATGCTGCTATTGCTGCTTTGACGAGTGGAAATAAAATGGCGAATGCCATTTTAGGTACGCGGAACATATGTAAATATTAAACAACTCTGAATTCGAAAAATCTGCGACATTTCAAAACTGACAGAAGTCATAATTGTGCAATTGAATTGAATTGAATTTATTTAGTTCAGAAATATTACAATATTATGAAACACGTCAAAGTAAAAATAGGACAATGGTCAAATTAAAAAGGACATTAGCCAAAGTAAAAATATGACAATAGTCAAAGTAAAATGGGACAATAGTCCAAGTATAAGTGAGTATATGTAAAAATAAAATGAAAATATAAAATATCATATTGTACATGGGTTTACCTAGTTTTTGTTAAGATGTCTCTGTTTTTGAATAACTTGCAATATTCGTCAAATGAGTATAATGCAGTTCTCTGCCAGAACGATTTTCAGTCTTATCGAAAATTTGGAGAATGATAGATCACGAAATTCGGTTGGTAATGCATTGTACCATTCAACATCTTTGTTTGTATGCCTACGTAATCTAGTGTATGGTTGCAATACATGGACGTATAAAAAAGATTGCAATAGCATAGATTTGTTTCTTGTGTCATGTCTGTGGAAATCGCCATCTATTAGAAGATCAATACTGAACCATTGCTCTCGCTGCTCTCGAGAGGTCGAGTAAAATTTTTGAAACAAAAGCGCATCAGTAATTACACCATATCTTACTTCCATCATTGGTATTCCCCTCAAGGGGCTCTATTCGTGGTAGGAGCATGTACACTGTACAGTACCTCATAACTCACCCTGTATAATTATTATTTTTCCAGACTGCACCGGTGAATACGTTTATGGAAATTTGGGTGAATGCGAACGAAACATCCATTTGAATGGGTTGAAATGCGTGACGATTCTGCTAGGTGTTTTCAATAGAATAACAGGAGTTCCTGTGATGGGAATTGTCAATAGGCCGTTCATTCTTCCAGAAGAAACCCAGTGAGCTACTGCAAATGATCTAAACTCTTGAAAGAACTATCGAACTTTCATCAATTTCCAGATTCTCCCAGAAATGCGTTTGGGGAGTAGATCTCCCAAACCTCAAAATCAATAGTGGATTGGATCAGAATTCCAGGCAACATTTGATATGCATCAGTGGAAGCGAGGCTGATCCTATCAAGAAGAGACTCAGGGAACATGGATTCAATCTCATTGAAGCCTCAGGAGCAGGATACAAAATTTTGACTGTTATCTTAGGTTGGTATAATGTATACACGTTGTCTTCGTATGTTTTGACCCCTCAACAGCTTCAACTATACGAGGTAATAACAAACATCAGATATGGGAGTTGTAGGGTTTCATCTGAACTATATTTGGCACTACTTAAATAAACAAATTCGAAACGCAAAATAGAACCAGATCTTTTCATACAGCCAATATATCTAAGTTATGCTGCTTGGAAATTGAAATGAAATTATACTTGTTGCACCCAAATAACTTTGAAGCCATTGTGTCAAAGTCAACTTATGTCAAACTACCTCTGAATAAATTAAAAGTAAAAAAACTTTTCAATAAAAAGCTTTTATTTAAACGCTCTAAAAAGTAGAAAATAAAATTTTATTTTCTACTTTTTGGATCGTTTAAATAAAAGCTTTTTATTAAAAAGTTTTTTTAACTTTTAATTCGTTTTTTGATTTTTAGTTATCGCTAGCTGGATTTTTCGATTCTCTCTCAACGAGCGTTTTCATTTGATTCCCATATTGTAGAAGTATATTGAAAATGACCATTCCGCCATCTTGGATGGTCCGCCATTATGGATTCAGAATGACGTCACATCATTTTTCGAGTTGCTCTCAACGAGCCTTTTCATTTGATACCCATATTGTAAAAGTATATCAAAAATAGCTATTCCGCCATCTTGGATAGTCCGCCATATTGGATTTAGAATAACGTGACACACCTTATCGTGCATTGTCATCCAAACTGAACGTGTATACAAAATTTCAGCTCAATCGGTTGAAGATTTCTACTTCAAAATTGAGTTCAATTGGGTCAGGTTCGCACCAGATAGTGGTCAAGAATGCTATCTGGGACAGCCCTGCACTGATGAGAGCCAACGGCTCGAAACCGGTCTGCAGGGAGTTACGCGTTCCTGAACCACTTGGGCGCAGCTCGGCGTTTAGGAAGGAAACACTTGCGATTTTACTCGTCTATACGAATTATTGCACAGATTTCGGGATGTAATCTAATATTCTGCGTGGCATATAGCCAGGGAAGTAGTAGTTTTTTTCTCGTTATCTTCCATTTTCGTTTATAATATGGAGTATTGTGAAAATGACTTTCTAGTTTTTCTCTCTTTGTGACCATATATTATGCATTCCACTTTGAATATTTTATTTTCATTTAAGGTCTAGCTGATGCATATTTACTCTCGAAAGGAACGACATTCAAATGGGACACATGTGCTCCACATGCAATTTTGAAATCTTTGGGAGGCGATATAGTAGATTATAAGACAACAATCACTACCGAAGAAAATGGAGTTGTCGAATATTGTACAGGAGGAAGCAGCTGCAATTCTAGTGGAATAATTGCATTCAGAAATAGTGATATATTGAAAGAGATCGTCGATATTCTGAAACTATGAATGTTTGAATACAACATTTTTCAGATTGTTTTCGGATTTGCGAACAATGTAACGTTTACATGGTGATGCTGAAGAGTTCCAGAAACCAAATAATATACTTATTCAAGATGAATTCTGTTTCATTCTTGTATTAATTGTGTACTGGATAGTTATTCATTGATATTCATTGATATGACGATGTATGACGATATACACTCACCGGCAAAAAAATACGGCCACCAAAATAAATTCCAATTTTCCTGTAACTTTTTTGTGTCTTGTCCGATTTTGGTGAATTTACGACCAAATATTAGATTTATGTTTCAAAGTGTTGCCTGAATTTTGATTCTTGGAAGAACCGATGGATTGATCATTGTACAGTGTGTCCAGTTTTCGATGCTTTTGCATGATATCTCAGTTATCTTTGTGAATAAAACCTTGCGGTTTTCACGGTCCTGTGCTACTTTTTCGTGAAACTGAAGATGGCCTGATCAGATTTTGCAAAACTGTTTCCGTATACGAGATATACAGGGTGATTTTGAAAATTTATACTTTTTATACCCCCTCTATATCTACGAACTTCATCAGCGAAAATGTCAAATTGAAATCTAAACACATAGAGAATTTTATGCAGAATCCAGTGGCGCACAAAAGTTTTTTTTTCAGGGTGTGGTTTTGAAGATACGACTCAAACTTATGATTTTTTAAATTGAACACCCTGTATTTTACAAGCTCATTAAATTCCTTATTTTTTTCCCTTCGGGATGATATGTGATGTATGAATATAACATTTTCAAAAATGTTCAAAAATCACTAAAACATTGAATTTTAATAGTGGGCTATGGGTTTTTCGAGGGATTTTCATATAAAGAAATTTACAATTGGAGAAATATTTCCTTTGATTGTTCCATGAAGGGGGAAAAACAATTTCAACACTAATTAACTTGCAATACACAAAACTTAGATACCTGATATCCACAAATATATAGTAATAAAAAGTTTATAATGTAGAATAAGCACCTGATTGAATATTTACTAAAACAATTGAATTTCGAAATTATTCAGTGATTTATTCATTGAATTGTTCGAATATTGATGTCAATTTTCCATCACAATCTTTCTCAATACATATTAATCATTGAAAGATGTCTTTGTAATTCCTGAAAAACTGCCTTTGTTGTTGCACAAAGTTCTTCAAGTATGTTGGGCCACTCACTGTATTAAGAAGTATTAAGAAAGTTTGTCAACTGTATGTTAGGGAAAATGGATATCAATTTGAACATGTCAATGAATAAGTTACTGAATAATTCCGGAATTCAATTATTGTTTTAGTTAATATTTAATCAGGTGCTTATTCTACATTATAAACATTTTATTACCATTTATTCGTCGCTATCAGGTAAGTTTTGTGTTTTGTTGATTTAATAAGTGTTGATATTGGTTTTGACCTCTCCATGAAAAATTTGAAGAAATATTTCTTCAATTGGAACGTTTTTTATAAGAAAAATTCATTACCAACTATCAAAATTCAATATATTAGTGATTTTGAGCAATTTTGAAAATTTTATATTTATTCGTTATATATTATCTTCAAGACAAAAAAATAAGGAATTTAATGAGCTTATGAAATACAGGGTGTTCCATTTAAAAAACCATAAGTTTGAGTCGTATCTCCAAAACCATACCCCGAAATAAAAAATTAAGTGCGCTACTGGATTGTGCGTGAAATTCTCTATGCGATAAGATTTTGATTTGACATTTTTGTTGAGAAACTTCGTGGATATAAAGGGGGTCCAAAATGTATAAATTTTCAAAATCGCCCTGTATCTCATAAACGGAAACAGTCTTGCAAAATCTGATTAGGCCATATTGAGTTTCACAAAAAAGTGGCACAAGACCGCGAAACCCGCAAGGTTCTATCTCCAAAGATAACTGAGATATCAGGCAAAAGCATCGAAAACTGGACACACTGTACAGGAAAAAACAGATGTTTCTTTCACCTTTAAATTCATAACGCTCTGTGTCGAAGGAGAGTGATTAAACTTAGCTTCATCATGTTTTGTATTGAAGTGTGATCGCATCTCAACACAATGACTTTTTATTCACGGCAATATATTCTGTTTTGAGAGGAGATACAAGTGTTTTAGAGTTTCAGGAAAGTATGTAATCTTTCAATTTTCATTAACAAGTAACCATTCTCCAACTTTCTGGTTTATCATGTTTGAAATTTTGTTGTGATCCCTGGTCATCCCTTCTCAATCCTTTAGCTCACTGGTAGACAATTGTACCATTGAACATTGAGGGTCAAACTCAGGCTATTTCGAATTCAAACGTCGACCTTAATGATAGTTGTGCATGAACGCGATGCCATGGTACGCTCGCTGGTCGATTGAATAGCCAATGTTACACAGGATGCGTTACAGTTGGTTGTACACGAGGGTCTGGTCGAATAAGCTACCAACGGGCATTTGTGATTCATTAAAAATCATCATTCCTCTTCGGGAACTACTTCTACGCAATATTCTCAATTGTTCACATTATTTTATGCTTCTGTGTCAAATAACTTGGCCAGTATATTGGTATAGTGAAGTTATCAGTTGATTCAGTTTTGGAGAGAGAGGTCAACTAGTTACAATGTGCTGTTTTGTAAATGCAGTCGGAAATACAGTTCCACCTGCCTATATTTTTCCGAGACAGAGAAACCTTGATATAATAGGACAATCTGCACCTGCTGATAGTCTGATTCTGGGACATCCAAGCGGCTGGATGATTGGGACGAATTTTGTCAAAGTTTTCGATCACTTTGTCAAGCATGCTAGGTGTTCGAAAGAAAGACCCGCTGTTCTGTTTTTAGATAACCAGGGCGGTCCCGAATTTTGTCCGATACTCCTGAAAAAGAAGAAGCAGAAGAACGACAGAAGAAGAAAGTCAAGAGAATAATAAAAAATAGAAAACAAAAAATCAGACCAGTAAACGTAATGATAAAAAGAGGAACGTGAAGCTTTTAATTCAAAAGTTTCAGATGAAAGCACAAGTGAATCAGAATTATTCGAAGTAGATGATGATTCTAGTGAAAGTGATTTCAATCCTGAACCACCAGAAAAAGATTTTGATTACTCAGCTGAGAATGTAGAAATAGGAGACTACCTATTGATAAAATATTGTACCAAATCTACAATTGTTCATTATGTAGGTCGAGTAGAGAAAGAACTTCACGATTAATACGAGATTAATTTCCTCAGAAAAAAAAAAGGAAATGGTTTCGTATTCCTACCTGTGTCTGATATAACGTCGGTACAAAAACAAGACGTTGTTCTGAAACTTCCTTCACCTAATGAATCTGGTGGAAGTAGCAGCCTTTTCTCTGTCCTGTATTTTGATGTTAACTTGAACAACTTCGAGAAGCTGCGTTGAATTTGTTGTTCCGACATACGACTACATTGAGCTATTTTTATTTCATTTTCTGAAGGATATGTTTTGTTTCATTTTCAATAAAGAATTTCCCACAGCAGTATATATTTTTCTCAGCCAACTTCAGTTGATATCAGTATTCTCGACACTGACCCATTTTTCCTGTAAGAACAGTGGTTACCCATTCCTCCTGTATGTAGGAAGAATGGGCCGAATGAACATTTTTTTTATCGCTTGGAGCGCACGAAAGGGAATCCCTATAATACATTGGTGATATGCCAATAAGCTAATAAATATGAGTAGCACAATCATATAGTAACATGCATGAGCTGAAACCAGATTATTAAAGTTGATCATGAAGTAACCAACAGCTCATCAGTAAAAATTGACCCGTTCCTACCCACTTCCCCCTAATTTTATTTCAACACCATATCCACTTTCTTTGAAGAGTTGATAAAACTATACAAAATTTATATACCAATATGAAACTTATCCAGGACAATTTTTTTTAAACGCATCCAAGGCAGTATTGTTGAAACGTGCCTAGAACGGTTGTCTTGGAACGTGTCTGTGACGATGTTGTTGAAACGTTCCAAGAAACTCCACTGTGGTAGGACATCTACCTTCTCTGGAACGTTTCTGAAACTTCAGAGAGGCTTGAGTGGAAAGGTTTAAGATTTCTTTAAGAGATTTCTGAAACGTTCCTGATACTGAAATATGTTTAGATTAGATTAGATTTGGAATGGGGCCTTCAGGCTATCTGCCTCCACACTGCGACCTTTTCAGATCTATTGTGCCTGCCCTCAAAATAGATTAGAGTTCTTCGGCTAGCCCCGCCTCCTCTATGAGACTCCATAGGCTAGCTTTCAGATCTCCTGTGTATCTCTGGGCTCCTGGTTTTTCCTCACCCAGCGTAAGGAACCTTAGTCTTGACAAGCCCTCACAGTGGCAAAGTATGTGTACTGCTGTTTCTTCCCCTTCTTGACAGAACCTGCACAGCAGTTCTTCAGTCAGACCTATCGTACTCATGTGTTTGTTGAGCCTACAATGCCCTGTGAGAAGTCCCACCAGTATTCTAGTTGAACTTCGTTTCTGGCTCAGTAGATATTCTGTGAATGTTGGCGATGGTTTTTTGATAAACTCTTCTGTCTGTCTCATTCCTGGCGAGTTGTTCCACCATTCTTGAGATTTAGTTTGCATCCATGATTTGATACTAGTCTTTTGTATAGCTTTCGCAATACCACAGAAGGGTTCTGGGCCATTAAGAGCTTTGTTTGCTTCTGCTCGGGCAAGTGAGTCTGCCTCTTCATTGCCCTCGTACCCTTTATGTGCTGGTACCCATGCTAGAGTCAATCTGTTCTGACTGCCCAGTGCATTTAGGGTTTCTAAGCAGTCCCATACTAGTTTTGAGTTAACTTGCATAGAGTTGACTGCTTTGATTGCCGCCTGGATATCTGAATAAATTGCAATGGTTTTGCCTTTAAACTCTTGCCTTATCAATTCTTTCACGCAATGATGTATTGCAATTATTTCTGCCTGAAACACCGTCGCGTATTTGCCTAAGCTCAGTGAGATTCTTGTCTTTGGCTTGACCCCATAAATACCAGCTCCTGATCCTTCCTCAGTTTTGGAGCCGTCCGTATAGACAGCAATGTCTGCATTGATAGGAGGTTCTTCCTTACATGCCTCTCTGTCCGTTATACTTATTTTAAAAGTTTTTTCAAAGCTATATTTCGGAATTATGCCATCCGTTGGCATCCCCATGATGGGGTCGCTTTCCAACTCTTCATATAGCTTCCTATAGTCTTCACCGTGCGCGTTGCTTATGGGTGCTTGACCCCTTGACAATCTACTCACGACTGCTCTGGCTTCGCCTTGAATATATATTTGTAGTGGTGGTAGGTTCAAGAGGACCTCTAAAGCGGCTGTTGGAGTGGTTTTCAT